AATGAATGGGTACCCGGTAGGATGAGATGGCAATGTGACTGTTAATATTCTATCACCTCGTATGTTGTTTACTGGGCAGCTAGGAAAAAAACCCCAAGTTCTCGCTGATCCATTGACTGTGTAATACAAACGTAATGTATAAACTATGCCCATGTACATTACTATGATTATCATTCTTTAGATATGTCAACAGAGTCAGTACAAAAATCAAATAACTTTCTACTGCGTATAGCATACTTGTAATATCCGTACACCAATATGACCGATGTACCACCTATTTGTACAAGGCTTAGTGGAACTCGTACATCATCTCAGTGACACATTCATTTAACGACCGACACAAGCCTCCTAGCCTCCCGTCCCTCGTGTTTGTGCGTTGTCAGGTGATACAGGTATCAGCGGAGAGATATTAAACAAGAGCCTTCTTTCCTTGGTATCCAAACATCGTATGCCACTTAAATTCATTAAGTGGACTTCAGGTCGGACCCAATGAAAACAGTTTATGGAAAAAATATAATTAAATTATTACATTACTCGTAAGTGTATCTTTGATTATGTGAGCTCCATCCACGAAGCTGACAAACAAGTTTATAGTAGAGTGTTGTTGCAACATGATTCTCAGTCTACATCTGAACAGAGATATACAAAACTATTTAGAAAGAAATAAAGATCAACGAAGCTACACCCATGTCTTTACAAACGTATGTTCGTAGTCAGTGTATCATTCGATTCCTATAAACACTCATTCTCAATAAAAGGGCGCATTTGTGCCGCCGCGCTCTGTGTTTTCCTGGCTTTCCTTTTTAGTTGATTCTTTTGCATTTTTGCAACATGTCACCACCCCTACTAAAGATTTAAACATCACGTGCCTGCCACATGTCGGGAATAAATGAAATGTATCCAATTGATTGTATATTTTGAAACGTACGTGATTGTCGCCGCAATTGATATACACACGTAATATACTAGGAGAGTTTGGTGTAAGGCTGCCGTATCTGAGTTTGGTTTCGTCGTACTGATGGAAAGGCCGATATCTGATGGACTACTTATATAATTAGCTACCGTGCTCCCTCAAAATATGTAATATTAAAGTGAATATCCAGGAGATATTAAGGACTTTCAATGTAATTGTTAAAATGCAGTGTAAAAATAAATCAATATAGGTTGACATTGTTGGCTGGTCCACAAAACATACTCATGGTCATCTGAGGATTGTACACGTTTTGGTGGGCCATTGTGGTCATCTCTGAGTGAGTGTGGTTTTACGCAGTTTTCTATGTCATGTCGGGAGATACCCAAAATGGGCTTCGCACATTGTAAATATGGGCGGAATCGAACCTGGGGCTCCGGTGTGACGAACGGACACTTTAACCACTAGGCTACCACACCTCCCGGCTGTGGCGTTTAAACGAGATTTGTTTTTGTTTTATAGGTTTTAAAATACTAAGTTAGCTGAAACATACTTCACAAATGTACCGGTGTTACAAAATATATGTTACCGTATTGGTAACCATATGTACACAAATATGAATAATAAGTGGATACTTGGTGTTGTGTGTATGTGTTAGTGTGCGGGTACGTGTGGTTGAGGTAGTGTGTGTGTGGTGGTAGTGTGGTGTGTATGTTAGTGTGCGGGTGGTTGTGGTAGTGTGTGTGGTGGTGGTGTGGAGCGTATGTGTTAGTGTGCGGGTGCGTGTGGTTGTAGTAGTGTGTGTGTGTGTGTGTGTGTGGTGGTGTGGAGCGTATGTGTTAGTGTGCGGTTGCGTGTGGCTGCGGTATTGTGTGTGTGGTGTTGGTGTTGTGTGTATGTGTTAGTGTGCGGGTACTTGTGGTTGCGTAGTGTGTGTGTGGTGGTGTGGAGCGTATGTGTTAGTGTGGAGTGTATGTGTTAGTGCGTTAGTGTGGTGTGGTTGTGTGGTGGTGGTGTGTGAGCGTATGTGTTAGTGTGCGGGCGTGTGTGGTTGCGGTGTGTGTGGTGGTGGAGCGTATGTGTTAGTGTGCGGGTGTGTGTGTGGTTGCGGTAGTGTGTGTGTGTGGTGGTGTGTGGAGCGTATGTGTTAGTGTGCGGGTGTGTGTTGCGGTAGTTGTGGTAGTGGTGTGTGGTGGTGTATGTGGAGCGTATGTGGTAGTGTGTGGTGTGTGTGTGGTGGTGGTGGTGGAGCGTATGTGTTAGTGTGTGTGTGTGGTTGTTTAGTGTGTGGTGGTGGTGGTGTGGAGCGTATGTGTTAGTGTGCGGTGTGTGTTGCGGTAGTGTTTGTGTGGTGGTGGTGGTGTGGAGCGTATGTGTTAGTGTGCGGTTAGTAGTGTGTGTGTGGTGGTGGTGTGGAGCGTATGTGTTAGTGTGCGTGTGTGTGTGGTGGTGGTGTGGAGCGTATGTGTTAGTGTGCGGGTGTGTGTGGTTGCGGTAGTGTGTGTGTGGTGGTGGTGTGGAGTGTATGTGTTAGTGTGCGGGTGTGTGTGGTTGCGGTAGTGTGTGTGTGGTGGTGGTGTGGAGCGTATGTGTTAGTGTGCGGGTGTGTGTGGTTGCGGTAGTGTGTGTGTGGTGGTGGTGTGTGTTAGTGTGCGGGTGTGGTGGTTGAGCGTATGTTTGTGTGTGCGTTGCTGTTGCGTATGTGTGTGTGGTGGTGGTGGTGTTGCGTATGTGTTGGTGGTGCGGGTGCGTGTGTGTGGTGGAGTGGAGTGTATGTGTGTGGTGGTGTGGTGGTGGTGTGGAGCGTATGTGTTAGTGTGCGGGTGCGTGTGCCGTTGCGGTAGTGTGTGTGTGGTGGTGGTGTGGATGTGTATGTGTTAGTGTGCGGGAGCGAGTTGTTGCGGTAGTGTGTGTGTGGTAGTGGTGTGGAGCGTATGTGTTAGTGTGCGGGTGCGTGTGGTTGCGTTAGTGTTTATGTGGTGGTAATGTGGAGCGTATGTGTTAGTGTGCGTGAGTGTGTGGTTGTGGTAGTGTGAGTGTGGTGGCGGCGTGGAGCGTATGTGTTAGTGTGCGGGTGCGTGTGGTTGCGGTAGTGTGTGTGGTAGTGGCGTGTGCGTCTGTGTTTTAAAGTTGATATGAATACTACTCATTAATTTGTATCAAATACGTCATTCTTAGCATCTATTTGGCACAGGCTGCAATGGCGGAAACTGAAGACTGCTTGGAGTCAGACAGACCATCCTTCACTTATCAGCAGTTATTCAGGCAGTAATTCAATAACCACATCTACAGTGTGTACGTAGATAACAAAACAGCTTGTTTTTGTCCCATGACCTGATTTGGATTTGGGACAGTGAACGACTTATTAAGAAAAACAAGATGGACATTCCTATCAGATATACTGCGGTTAACCTCAACAATGAGTGAGTGAGTGGGTAGAGATTTACACAGTCTTTAGCGATATTCCAGCAATATCACTGCTGTGGATACCAGAAATGGGCTTCACATATTGTGTTGGAAATATGTGCGGAAAGCTCGGTTCATCGGTGTGACGAGCGTAGGTCTTATCCATAAGGCTACCCTGCTTTCGCATACTTCAACAGGCAAAGATCAGGTGTGACAAAAACAGTTTATCTGTAAAGGAAAACTGTACGGTCTGAGGGATGATTTCAGCTTTTCAAAATGTCGACCACTATTCCATCAGCTCTGGCCATAGATGTCCACAATTCACAACTTTTGAGATAAAACAATCGCGAGCACATTCTTTCAACGCAGATTGTAATAAGTGACACACGTGTCTTGCTCAATAGTGATGAGGGTCACAACTCAGGGTCACAACACGCAGTGTTACAACTCCCAAAGCCTCAGACTGACTGAGTTCTGGTTTTACGCCGCTTTTAGCAATATTCCAGCAACATTACGGCGGGGGGACACCAGAAATGGGCTTCACACATTGTACCCATATGGGGATTCGAACCCGGGTCTTCGGCGTGACGAGCCAACGCTTTAACCACTCAAAGCCTCAGAACCGTTTCCAAAGCTGATTGTGGAACACATGTGGAGAACATTTCAAAATATAACACACCACTGACAAATAGTTGTCTCCTGAATTTCAATTTTGATCTGTACCAAATGTTCCCGTGTCTTTTGCCATTGAATTGAATATGTTTGTGACGAATGTCACCTGTTTTGGTTCAGGATGGGGTTAACCTGTTTTCATGGTTCGTGATGTATATGCGGTTTGACAAATGTGTTTGAACGTTGATTTCTGCATGTTCCAGCTGCAGTATCTCATCATTTGATCCTGTACGTTTCCTTGAATCTTGCGGTGGGGTAGCCCAGTGGTTTAAGCGCTCGTCCATCACGCCGAAGGACGTGTACAATTCCCAACATGTGTACAATGTGTGAAGCCCAATTCTGGTGTCCCCAGTCGTGATATTGATGGATTATTGCTAAAAGCGGCGTAAAACCATAATCACTCGTTCATTCCATCTTTGAGATTACAGCCCATATCATTACGCTTCCACTACAAATCTGTCGATCTCCTTTGTACACTAAGAGGCAAACGTTCACGACGACGTCGGTACAAACTTGTTCGTTCATCAGCCAGATAAATCCTTCTGTAACCAAAGATTTATCCATCCCTGATGCATATATATATTTCATTAGCTTCATCGTTACTTTTGGTGTCATTTATACATTGGGTGTCATTCTGACCTATACTGAACATGTAAACGTTATCCTAGAATTTGTAAACTTGGATTGCAGTTATAAGCTCAACCCTTGTAATGAAACACAGCAACACAGAGCATTGGGATTAATAAAACACTTTCATCTTGGACCCAAAAAAATATTTTTTCAGATTGTTTAATTAATTCATCTATGATTAATAATGTGTTCATAACCAAGCACATTAGCATCTCTGGGAGGAGACCGCTAGTCGAGACAGGACAATCCTCGCGAGGTGGCAACACTGGCAACAGATAAAGGACGAGTCTCAACAGATGGCTACCTAGCTATTTCCCCATTTATCTCTGGGTCGGTTTATAAGGGGTAATCCGGATTATCAGCATCACTTAGGAGGATCATCATGGAGCGGGTGGTCTTTGCTTTGCTAGCGCTAGTGAGTCTCTCTGAGATTCAGAGCGCACCTACCACACCTGATCCAGGTGAGAACTTATTGCATTAGATATATACTACTGACACATACACATATATTATTGATCAGACAATGGCTTTGCCTTCAAGGTCATATTATGACAGGTATCATAACAATTAATTCATTTTCAATGATTGTTGATTTCGTTGTAAAAATCGAGATTGCATAATTATTACCAAAAGGAAAATGAATGATCTTCGCCTTGAAAATTAATTAATGAATAAAACATATCTGAAATATATAATTGTTGAAATCCATTACAGAAATATTGGCATGCATATAGTTTTATAAAGCTTTAATTTTGTCACTCATAACAAGCGTTATCCCCAAAAGGTTTTACTTGTTCATTTTATACAAATGCAATGATTTCTCATCGGGTATTTCATCTTGAAATCCTTATTGTATAATACGAGAAAGTTTGGCCGGATTATGTTATAGTTTGTCACTATTATGTCCTAACATACCGGTTCTATCCAAGTGGGTAAAGTCTAAGACCTGCATCATTTCATATCCAAACCTCAAAAAATCCATTAACAAAAGCTAAAATATGTCTTCACATTTCAAGGCATTAAACCAACATAAAACTAAACACTATGTACTTTAGTCCCTATAATCTAAGACAACATATACCTATCCCTACACCCGTATTGTTACAGTAACTCATTTGTACCAGAAACACTATAATCAAAGATTCTGTACCTCATGTAAATCTAAAGGTCTAACCTATGTATTGTTTATTTGTGAATCCTATTACTGAGAGAGAGGTATATTACGAAATTTGTTAAAAAACCCTTCATTGTATATTCTTTAACAAATCTTTTCAAGAATACTAATTAGATACTATAAAATCTGTTGCCTTGTATCTTTTTTATGTTAAAAGGATCATTATAAACACACCTGAAAGATTATGTTGCCCCTGACAATACTGGAATTTTGTTTAGAATGTATTTTGGGCCTACTGCCGTTTACGGGAAATAAACTGTCTGTCTAAAATAATTTTTTAACTCTAATTCTTTTGAAATATTCTTTCAGGAAAATTAACTTTCTTCTTGCTTTCATCTTTTTTTGAAACCATAAATGTGTTTACTCCCATGACACTTCTTATCAATGGAGATATGAGCAAATTTACTTAATGCCGGTGTAGCAGCCCAGAATAACCCCCCACCAGATTATACACCGGGGTAAACTATAGGCTAGCCCAGTTTATACCCCTCCATCCCAGACTATACCCTTAAAAAATTATGTTGACAATTCACTCAATATGAGTGTGTGACTCGGGCAATGGTCTTGGTGTCATTTAAAGGAATTTGTAGGTGCATTTCATTTACATTACTGCATAATACAAGTATTTGTTGAGTGCCTCTCTGCAATATGATATTTTCGACTTTGCGTAACCCAGCCAAAGTATAAAGTATAAAGTCTTGCAGTTCATTCAATACAGATTGTTTCTACTCAGTTTTTCTTAACGCAGGCGTGGAGATGACTGTTACATTCCTCTTGAAAGTTCTAATTATAATGTCCTAAGAACAATACATTATTATCATTTGGTAGTCATTTTCTTTTCTGAAAACGTGTAGAAAAGATAATATTTCATCTTTATATTATAGTAAAAGAACAGTTCTATATATGAGAGTGTGATAAAACATATATTTTACCAAAATCGTTTGATTACTACAATTTATGCACATCAAATAGTGTTTTCGTAAAATCTAAAATCTCACAGTAGATGATTGGTCCACAGTATTCATCACAACATTAACCTGGGCATTATTATGATACATTAATGGTATTATTTTCACGGGTGTATTTCATTATATATATGCACATTTTATTCTTTTCAATGGAAAATGTTTTCACCATTGTCTGCACCGTGTGTATATGTACATGGAAAATGCGACTTAAGTTGCACAGCATTTGCCAAATCCACTTGTCCGTACATTGCCTATAACCCCACCAACACTCGAGGGCACAAAACAATCTTTAAGAACACAGGGGCTTGTATTGCTGAAAATAATACGTCCCAGGTCCAACACTCGTTCACTGATAGCAATCTACATATAAAGAAGTAAAGGGGTGTAAGCACACAAACTTGACAAACACCCCTCTCATTTCAAGGCGAATTCTGTTGGGAAATTAAACAAAACAAACAACTAATAATCAAAACCAACCAACTAAACAAACAAAAACAAAAATCACAAAACAACAACAACCTCAACCACAACAACAACAACAACAACAACACCAAAGCTAATAGAATGGTTTCAATTGTAGTAAACGTTCTTAAAACTCTTTTCTTTGTCAAGGATGTGGACAAAACCCTGCTGATATTGTGTTTTTATTGGACTCGTCGGGAAGTGTTGGGAGGACAAACTTTCAAAAACAGCTGGACTTTGTAAGTAAATTTGCGAATTCGTTTAGCATTGGCCCTCAGGGTGTTCAAATTGGCGTCACCACATTCGCCACCCATCCCACGAACAGGTTTTGGCTGAATTCGCACACAAACAAAGCCGATCTGGTCAAAGCCATCCAGGCAGTTCCCTACACAAGTGGAAGTACGGCAACGGATGCTGCTCTGAGCTTCGTCAAGAACCAAGCGTTCACGAAGGCCAATGGCGACAGAGACAAGGTAGCTAACATCCTCATCGTCATGACTGACGGCCAATCTAACGACAAGGCAAAGACGGCGGCGGTGGCGGAAACGATCAAGAAGGGGACGACGTGGTCTGTGTTTGCTATCGGTATTGGTAGCGGGGCGCTGAAGTCGGAACTGAACACCATTGCAACTGATACTAAACACGTGTTTACCGTGGAGAACTTCAGCGCTTTGCAGAACATCCAGGCGACGCTGAAGAAGACAGCCTGTGAAAGTAAGTATTTTGTCACACATATAGATGGGCCGTGGGTGGTCTAGTTGATACAGCTGCCTGTATTCATTTCTGTGCTTAATACTGAATTCCCTGTATACTCACAAACAGAGGTCAGCTTGCTCTTTTTCATCGACGTTTATTAATACATTGCGCCAGCAAAGAGACTAGATTTAGATCATAAGTTCAGTTGATGACGATTACCAAGTAATCCAAATGTTCAAATCAAAATTTCATAAAAGAAGTTACACATTTTCTGAAAAATATATGTTTTATTTTTTTCAACCGCCCGATCTCTTTTGGTTCAGGCTGTGTAAAACGTGCTCGGCAGATATTAATAAATCTCGATTACCTTCCGATTTTGTTCATTGGGGCAAAAGGAAAACGGCGCTGAAAAATATATATACAGTCAAATCCCGATGAGTCGAATATTATGCATAACTCGAAGTACCTGTCGGTCCCGACCATTCCCTGTTATAGTTGTCATCATTTGATTTCCGGTTACACGAATTCGTCTCATAAATACACACGATGACTCGAGAAGGAAATTTGGTCCCATGAGATTCAAACAACAGCAATCTTGTATACATAAGCCGAAGTCAGTCAATGAGAAGTTGATTGGTGTAGCAAACTGATCCAATTAACAAACCAGCGCGGCTCTCACCTTTCCGCCATTCACGGGTGAGTTCAAAAGTCAGATTAGTGATTTTACGGTAAATGAAAATCAGCGATTACACCAAATGCTCTTGTCCTCCTGTCTCGGGTTTGGTCCTGCTCAAAGCTCATTTCTTGTGTCCCCCACCTTGACATTGCTGAAATATTGCTAAAAGCGGCACATACACATTCTCACTCATACGATGAGCTAGGATACGTTGAGAGTAGCAGGCTGAGCCAGTACAGCTTTACAATATCCGTAACATTAATATCTGACACAGTCAACAACGTTTATAACGAACAGGCTTATAACGAACTGATGGATGTAACGAACTTTGTAGGCCCAACCAAGGGTTGTATACCTCAAAATGCATATGGGGACGTGGGGTAGCTTAGTGTTTAAAGCGTTGGCTCGTCACGCCGAAGACCCGGGTTCGATTCCCCATATGGGTACAATGTGTGAAGCCCATTTCTGGTGTCCCCCGCCGTGATGTTGCTGGTATATTGCTAAAAGCGGCGTAAACTCACTAACTAAAACTCACTCACTCAAAATGCATATATGGAACTAAGCTTATAAACGAACAAAAATTAGTGGTCCTTTTGAGTTCGTTATAACTGTAGTATACTGTACTTCAAAGGGTCACAAATGAGGCCAGTTGATCATTTGGTATTTTCACTGGATTCCAACAACACACGTGACATTAAACCCGTGAAGGTCCGGGTTAGAATATTGATTTTTAGTAACCCATGCGTGTCGTAAGAGGCGACTAACGGGATCGGGTGGTCAGGCTGACTTGGTTGACACGTGTCATCGGTTCCCAGTTGCGCAGATCGATGCTCATGCTGTTGATCACTGGATTGTCTGGTCCAGATTCGATTATTTATTTACAAACCGCTGCCATATAGCTGGAATATTGCTGAGTGCGGCGTAAAACTCAGCTCACTCAGTCACTCACACCGTGACATTATAATTTGACATTTTGAAAGGATTACAAAAGAAGTCATATTACACCTCGTCTTCTTAGTTTTGAAAATGTCGTTTTCTTCTTATGATTTGTATTAATATGATCATCATTATCAGTGTATTGCCATGTGTTACAGCTGCATGTATATTCAAACAAATTGTTTAACCACCAGTTAACGGACAATGGAGCAAATGGGGTTTTTACTCCCCCTGCACAAAGAAGTGTGGGGGAGGTACCCAGTACCATGAGAGGACGTGTAGCAACCCTCCCCCCTCACACGGAGGCAAGCCTTGCAGCGGGGCAGCCCGAGAGACCAAGGCCTGTGGAACGGCACCTTGCACGACCACCCCTATACCAACAACCACGCCCAGACCCACACACGCCACCACCTCAACAGTTGCACCAGGTGAGACTAGAACTTTGACAAAATGGTTAGTGTAAATTAATTTGATACCTTATGTTGGTTAGTTATGTACAAAACTGTTATAGTGGCTATCGTTTGTTTTCATTTCAGTGTCTGCATTACCTATTTTGTAACTAAATGGCTCCCTCCATTTGGGGAAGCCCAGTGGATAAAGCGTTCTCTCCTGTCGCTTAAGACCCGGGTTCGATTCCCCACATGGGTACAATGTGTGGAGTCCATTTCTGGTATCCGTGATATTGCTGGATTATTGCTAAAACTCACTGCTGCACGCCGAAATAGTAACCTTTGATCCAATCTAATCAAACTAACCATCAGATTGTGGAAACGCTTTGAGCAAACCGAGTTGATAGTTTTGCAAGATACCGTCATTTCATTATGATAATTCTGAAAACTTCTTCCTGATGACAGAAACAATGTGGAACATGATTTTGGTCCTGTTCTAACTGTGGATAGACTATGTTTCACAATCAACAACTGGAAGACGAAACCAGGCAATGAATTCCAGCCATTTATAATGTAATGCTTGGCACCGGCCCTGTTGGGATTAGTACCCTTCGTCAGCTACAAAATCAGGACCAGATTCTGACACTGAAACCTAGATGATTGTGTGTCATCGTTCCCAGACCAGTCGTTGTGCCATCAATAACATGTCTGTCTGACCTTGACGCGATTATTCATAGACTGTCGTACCATTGCTGGAACATGCATGCTCACTCACTCACTCACATCACTCACTCACTAGCTGGTTGTGTGTCATCGTTCCCAGACCAGTCGTTGTGCCATCGATAACATGTCTGTCTGGCCTAGACGCGATTATTCATAGACCGTCGTAGCATTGCTGGAACACTCACTCACTCACTCACTCACTCACTAGATGGTTGTGTGTCATCGTTCCCAGACCAGTCGTTGTGCCATCAATAACATGTCTGTCTGACCTTGACGCGATTATTCATAGACTGTCGTACCATTGCTGGAACATGCATGCTCACTCACTCACTCACTCACTAGCTGGTTGTGTGTCATCGTTCCCAGACCAGTCGTTGTGCCATCAATAACATTTCTGTCTGGCATAGACGCGATTATTCATAGATCGTCGTAGCATTGCTTGAACAGTCGTGACTTCACCCCACAGCCACAAAACGGCAAAACACTTTTCACATTCTAATAAACATCTGCCAAAAGCAACATATCATGAGCATATGTTTCCGAACTACTATGAAACATGTATGATACCTGGTGTTCGCAAACACCTGTTATAAAGACATGCAAAGGCTAGTCAATTGTTCAGAATACAAGAAAACAAGCCAAAGAGGAATTGCATCAGACATTATGTTTTTTCACAAATGCATAGCATTTGAAAATGTCCTCCACATGTCTACCTCAAAAATGCATAGCATTTGAAAATGTCCTCCACATGTCTATCAAAACCTTTGGAATCATTTTGAGGTCTACGTATTGTAGCCATGACCAAATATCTTTTGCGTTGGAGTTGTGTGAGACTCTTTGAAATGCTGATGTTTCTGAGCATCAAAATGAACATGAAAGTACCTGTCATTCTAGCTTCTTAAAGTGTATCTGACTGTTCATACGTTACATAATTATGTAGAAGTTATAGCGCCAACGTAAACCCTTCGAGTTATCCGTAGCTAGATACAACCAAAAATGATGAATAAATCAGAAACACGCAGCGTCGATACAATCACTTCGGGACAACCATAAGTTCAACACAACCACGAGTTCGACACAACGTAAGTTCGACACAACCACGAGTTCGACACAAACCTTAAGTTCGACACAACCGTGAGTTCGAGACAGGTGTGTGACTATATATGGTGTTCCTTATGGTGTAAATGCTTTATGTTTAAGGGTGTGGTCTCCAGCCAGCAGATATAGTGTTCATAGTCGACTCGTCAGGAAGCGTTGGCAGCTCGAACTTCCAAAAGATGCTGACGTTCATCGAGACCATGGTCCAAGGGTTCGACATTGGTCCAAATGGCATCCGGATTGGTATGGTCACCTTTGACAGCAAGACATACCTACAGTTCCACCTGAACAAATACGCATCAAAGGCGGACATCATTAAAGCAATCAAAGCCACGAAGTATACACGAGGAAACACTTACACTCACCTGGCCCTTCAGTACGCCAGACAGACCAGTTTCACCGCCGCCAACGGTGCAAGACCTAATGCCGCTAAGATTGCCATCGTCATTACCGACGGTCAGTCTAACGTCCCCACCTCCACCAAGTCAGAGGCCCAGAAGCTCAGGGATTCTGGAGTCACCGTGTTCTCTATTGGTGTTGGCAGTGGTGCCAGACAAACTGAACTTCAAGCCATGGCAACAGATCCTGACGCTCAACACGTCTTCATCGTCACCAACTTCGACGCCCTCAAGCTCATCAAGTCACAGCTGCAACAGAAGGCCTGTGAAGGTAGGCGAATGAATAAAGTCTCGGGCAAAAGAAAGCACAACATACTACGTTTATATATAGAACATGATTATGACTTAATGATGGTTATAACGAACTGCTATTGTATACTTTAGTCGACTTTAATGGGCAGTTTTAGAAGTTGAGGTGACGAAGAATGATGATAAATTTATGGATATGGAACTTCTTTATTCTGTGAAAGGCGACGTTTCGACATAGATTCTAGAGTCGTTGTTTGAAAACGTAATCATTCTCTATTTTAATCGAATTGAGTACAGCTAATCACGTAACGAACTAAAATTAGTCTCAGTTCGTTGTAACCGTACTTTACTGTGTACACCTATGTTTGATGGTGGCTTCAAATGGAATCGACAGAACTGGTTTTCGATTTTAGATGTTTTTGAAATCATATCGATGAGCATATCAACATTTCCGCATAATAGCATTCCGAGTGTCCATGCCCGAAGAGTGCACTTGGGTGTACGTGCGTGTGTGTCAAAACTGTTGAGTTGAAAATGTGGTTCATTTGGATCAGCTGGCGCTACGTTTGGTAATTTGACTACATATGAATATTGCTCTTTGACAATTTTCAGCATCATGGATTCGAGTTGGCAAAACACCGTTCGATTCTTCGGTGTCCATATCTCATGAACTGAAGATTGGGTTTCAGCAATATTTATGAGAGCACATGAGTTTAGTTTTATGTATTTTCATATTCGACTAAATATTGCCAAGCTGAATCAAATGTCAGGTAAAGGCACAGCATTCAATGGTGACGTCTTCATTGACCCACACATGTGAGGTCACGTGGAGATGAAGTGCAGCGGAATATGCCTTTATCAGTGTCGATAAAGATTAACATCAACGTGTTAGTTTCAAATGGAACTTTCTGGGAAGAGCCGGAAGTTTGAAAACAAGCATTAACTGCTGAATGTATTTGAATGACATTCATTGTCCAACATAATTGTTACAATGACACCGAAAACAGTAATAACTCCGGCAACAATTAAAATATGTAATCATCAAAATTATGATATAATAATATTAACAATAAGTGCAATCATCATGATCAACATGTCAAATGAGTAATGCATGCACTTGGAATTTCAATAGCTATTGTCTGTTTTGTGCTGAATGATTATGTTTTATTCCAGTAAAACCAACGGCTGTAGTTACCACACCGGCACCGAAGCAACCAAGTAAGTATCGTTGGCATATCCAAATAAAACATCACTGTCTCATTATAACCATTTGATACCTGTGATGTATTATACCTGTTAGTAGCATTAATGTTAGTGTCATGTATCACCATGGGGTAAATGTTCATAAATGTTGAAATATACTATTGGGTAACTTTCAAGACAATCAGCAATAACCTGTTGAAATCGTTTGCGGAACAGTAATCACGATTGATTAAACAGGTTAAACTGTTTAAAATGTTAAGTTACTTAAGAATATCTCTATTAAACCCATATTAAAAATACCGTGAGTCCGAAGACTAACTTGAGACATTCTTTTCGATATGCGAATATTCGCCCAGCGAGAAATGGGTACCCGGAAGGATGGGAATGTAATGGTAAACAAACCTATGTTTAACCTTCTTCCATATAGACATACCTGTATCAGGCAACTTGAGTTGTATACTTCTCAGGAAGGAGAGCCGAAGTGCACTGTATTAAGAAGGATATACTCTTTGAGCTCATCCTCTGTATTTCGGTCTTTGTGGATCATACGTCGCCTACATCTAGTATGATAATCTTCATAATCATAAGTCCTGTTTCGTGTCTTCCACAGACTGCGGTGCACAGGCAGACCTTGTTTTCCTCCTGGACGAGTCCGGCAGTGTTGGCAGAACCAACTACAACAAGATGCTGGCGTTCGTCAACCAGATTGTTGACGAGTTCGCCATCGGTCCAAATGACGTCCAAATCGGCTTGGAAACGTTCTCTTCTACCACACGCCACCAGTTCGACATGAACAAATATTCCGACAAAACCGCACTTAAAGCTGCTGTTACCAAGACCCCATACCATGGCGGCAACACCCACACTGGCGATGCCTTGGCCTACCTCTCCAGCCATAGCTTCACGAAAGCAGCTGGAATGAGAGACAATGTCCCACACATTGCCTTCGTTCTGACTGACGGCAACTCTCAACAGAGAGATCTCACGAAGACCAACGGTGCTAAACTACAAGGCCAGGGAGTAAAGGTTATGGCTATTGGCATCGGTAACGGCATCAACAACCAGGAACTTGACAACATCGCCAGCAACCCCGACAGCCAATACGTCTTCAGAGCTGCCAACTTCGACGCCTTGAAGAACCTCAAAGCTATCCTCGCGTCCAAGGCATGCGAAGGTGAAATTGATTGAGTTAACATGTTTTCTTTACTGATGTTTAATTGAACCCAACCGCTTTTAGATATTGATTTAAAAATCTCAGCGAAGTTTCTGATTGGAATTCTGCCAAGTAATCGTTACGCTCCTCGGGTACATTATCTTGAAAGGTACATCGCATTTGATGTGTGGTTTTATTGTGAGCCGAAATATGTCTTGTCGATGTTAGTTGAATGTTCATGTTAAGGACTTAGTTGAAGGGGCACTGGTTGTCCAAATCGCCGATATTCGGTGTTCTGACTTACCTCCCTTTGAAACGCCAGAAACATATGATCGTTGGTTTGAATCCGGTTCGCCCAGATTATGTCTCCAGGTCTGTCAGCACCTTACCCCTGCTCGTAGGTTTCACCAAAGTCCTTAACGTCTAAGAACTGTGTACTTCGGGATTTCCTCCCACGTTAAGCAGACACGCAGTGATTTCTTGAACAGCTCAAAGCTACTTTGCTCATGACTAATCTGTAATGTCATAAAAATATTTACATCCATATCAACAATGATTATTAATTTTTTAACTTTCATTAATAGACAAGTCCCTTTGATCACAGTGATGTTGGGTTTTAGCATACAGGATAGATCAGATATATTTACTAAGATAATACCCACGCCATATAGCTGGAATATTGCTGAGTGCGAGGTAAAACTAAATTCAATCACTCACTAAGATGATATACACATATAGTGACATGATTGCTGGAATAATAATTATTGTAAAAATGTATGTCCATGGTAGCTTAATCTTAGTAAATGATTTTGAAAAACAATACTTTTACCCCTAAATCAAGTATATCTAGTTTTATGTAAATGAACTCTTTTGACTGTAAGGTGTGAATAATTCTGTCAGCTAAATGCCGTGATGTTTGTGATTCAACTTGAATGCATTAACACAAGCCGTATCTGATGGACGTTGTCCAGTAAATAAGGAAAGGCTAGTTTATGTGAATATTCATATAACTACGTATTTCTTTGATTCCGTAGTTGCCAAGCCAAAACCAGACCAGGCCACACCTTTACCAAAGAGTAAGTATATATGATGTTTTAACTCATCAAAGAAACACTCCTACCCTCTTCCCTTACCGCTGCGAAGGTCCATGGTCAACTGTGACGTGACAAGCAACTGGTGTCACGTCAAACATTATGACGTCAGCGGAGAATCAAATACGTACAATCTTCAACGTTTGGTTGTGTGTTGTTCATGGTTTGAAGCCGCACTCAGAAATATTCCGGCGATATGATAGCGGACTGTAAATAATCGAGTCTGTACCAGAATGTCCACTGATTGACTCGATGAGGACAGATCTACGCAATTGGCATATGATGACATGTATCAACCATGTCAACGAACCTGACCACCGAATCCCCAACAATGATATAAATTGATAAATTAAAAAATTAATAACGATAATAATACCGCTGTCGGCTGCCTGCCCAAATCTATAACACGGTTCCCCTTCTGCTCTTCAGTGTGTGGGTCTCAGGCCGACATCGTGTTCATGCTCGACTCCTCTGGCAGTGTCGGCTCCAGCAACTTCAACCTCCTTCTCACCTTCGTCAAGAGCATCGTCCAAGACTTTGACGTTGCTCAAAATAAGATCAGGATCGGCGTGGAAAAATTCAGCTCCAGGTATTTACAGTCAGACTTTACCATCTCATACACGTTAAATACTTTCACCTTGCCATCGCTATACATATACAGGTTGTATGTGGAATTCTTTATTCTAAACAACTTGTACATATGACACAGGAAATAACGAGGTAACGTTTTGGACCTATTTGAATTCATTGAAACGCCACATTTTGAGACGTGAAACCTGCTGATGCTTTTTGAATTATTAGTTGCGTTTCCGGGTGTAGGCGATAAAGTGAGTGAGTGAGTTTAGTTTTACGCCGCTTTTAGCAATATTCCATCAATATCATGGCGGCGACACCAGACATGGGCTTCACACATTGTACCCATATGGTTAATCGAACCCTGCTCTTCGGCGTGACGAGCTAACGCTTTAACCACTTGGCCCCCTCTTTAGGCAATAAAGCATCCGTCCAGATGTCGTCACATCGGTTCGTTTCTCACCTAGCCACATTTTACCAATAAGAGATGGTACTCGGTACCATGTCTGCCTCTCGGGGTAATAATATGGGGATAAGACAGGGACTTATAGGAGTCAGCGTAATGTCTCTGAGTGGGATATCCATGTGCTATGGCATCTCTATAAATCCTCGGACTACCAATAGCCACACACTCAATTTCAATATACGCCGTTATGTGAGCTGAACAACCTTGGACGTGACATTAAGCTTCACCTCACCCCATCTCACCTCACCTCACCTCACCTCACCTCACCTTACCTATGAGTTTGGCATCGTGTCCAGATACAAGTGAGCTTCAGATCAGTGTCAATAATATATGTTTATTATGAACGATTGTCATTATCTCAATGCCATGTATAGATGCAATCTAGAGTTGCATTAAAGATGAAGAGTAAGATGCTTATACATGCTTTGAAAGAAGGGGCGGTGGGGTAGCCCAGTGGTTAAAGCGTTCGCTCGTCACGCTGAAGACCAGGGTTCAATTCCCCCATGGGTACAATGTGTGCAGCCCATGTCTGGTGTCCCCCGTCGTGGGGTTGCTGGAATATTGCTAAACGCGGCGTAAAACTAAACTCACTTACTTTGAAAGAAATTTCTAGTGTAACTACAGTGTAAGGACATTGAGCACTGGAAGAAGAGCTTTAAAGAGCATGGGACGAATCATCAGCACAAACCTTCCATGCTACCAGATCCATCGTTAGAAAAAGTCCAAAAATGTCGATTGATTTGCACTGGATGGATCACGTTAGATTGCATTGAGTGCGCTGCATTGCTTTAAATAACATTGGTTTAGGAATAACTGAAGTTTGGATCAAATGGTGGTTTTAGTCTGGGAAATAACATTGTTCTTGACCAATAGAGGCTGAACATTTTTGACGATTTTGGTCGTTTACTTATAATAGTGGCAGAATTAATAGCGCACCTTGCCACCCTCTTTCAGGCCCTATCTGGAGTTCCACCTGAACCAGTACGGTACCAAGCAGGATGTCATGAACGGCATCACCAACATCAAGTACGTCTCTGGCGGCACCAACACCGGCGACGCTCTCAAGTATCTCCAGGACAATATGTTCAACGCGAAGAACGGCGATCGCCCAGGCGTCCCCAACATCGCCATCGTCATCACCGACGGCAGATCCAACAACCCTGACAAGACAAAGACCTTTGCTAAGGCTGCACGAGATAAAGGAACACAGGTGTTCTCCGTTGGTGTCGGCAAAGGTACGGTGCTGGAGTTTACTTGTAGATGTAGAGAGTAGCTCATGTTCTTAAGGATTTAAGTTCTTTTTTGATGAGCTGCTGTTGGTTGGATTTTGTAAATTTGTGCGTCTTCGTTTCTTTCTATACACAATGGCTACGTTCAAAGACAGTGGCTTTGTGTTGTCAGCTGTTTCATTCTTCGAGGACATTTTCACTGCATTTAAATGTAGGTAGTAACATGGGCCCAGATTCATGAAGTCTCCGTAGTTCCTCGTCTCGTTAAGCCTATGTTAAAGCGTATGGGCCTTAACTAGATCGTAGCTGCGATTTCTTTGTGAAGCAGGAACTACAGGAATCACACTATCATTACATCTTGATTCGGATTATTATACATCACAGATACAGAAGGTTAATGCCTTCCAACAACTTTGAATTTCTTATGGTCAAATACAGTCTATATGCAATGTCCGTCAAAGATACATTAGCATTTCGTTAAGCTCCGCCGATAAGTGGACATCAAGGAAAATGAACTGACCGGCAAGAGAAGGCATACGTCCACGTTGGCGGTGTCTGAAATTACAGCGAATGAATAAGTGAGTTAAGTTTTACGCCGCACTCAGCAATGTTCCAGCTATATGGCGGCGGTCTGTAAATATTCGAATCTGGACCAGACAATCATCCAGTGATCAACAACATCAGCATCGATCTACGCAATTGGGATACGGTGACATGTCAGCGAGTCTGACCACCCGATCCCGTTAGTCGCCTTATACGACAAGCATGGGTTACTGAAGATAAATTCTAACCCGGATGTTTCAGTTGTGCTGTATTTGATATTGATGTCATGGCTGTGTTTTGAACCTAAAGTTGGCAGTGTTTCAGTGATTGTTATCATGTTTGGTTAAATTTAACTTTCAAGTGCACAATGTATTTTATAATTTACCTCTCGCTTACCATCAGGTTTTTGTCTCCAGGAATCTCTGTTCCTGAGTTGAATGAAATGGCGACTGATCCCGATTCCACCCACGTGATGTCTGTGGACGACTTCAGCAAACTGCCACAGATCAAGGCGTTGTTCGCTCAGAGGGCATGCGCAGGTATGTATCCGAGTTGGGTAGCTTAGTGGTCAGAGCGCTCTCCCTTATCGAGAATATCCGGGTTCGATTCCCAGCATGAATATATTGCGTAGAGCCCTTTGCTGGTATTACACACAAGCCTAGGTATTGCTAGAATCTTTTGTCTATTGTTGTAGCAATATTCCAGCAATATCACGGCAGCGGACACCAGAAATTGGCTTCACACTTTGTACCCATGTGGGGATTCGAACCCGAATCGTCGACATGACTAGCGAACGCTCTACCCACTTAGCTACCCCACCGCCCTGTGCTAGTGCTAGAGTATTTCATGAAGCGGCTAAATGGTTTACTCTTTTTGTTCCGCGATTGCTTTGGGGTATTCACATAACTCCTTTGGTCCAATATATGTAACAAAAGCCATCGAATATACGTGTTCGTGGACTTAGAAGTTGATGATTGTTCTATAAATGTTTGTTTGTTGTTTAACGCCGCACTCAGCAATATCCCAGCCATATGGCGGCGGTCTGTAAATAATAGAGATCTACCCACTTAGGATACGATGACGTGTGTCAACCAAGTCAGCGTGCCTGACCACCCGATCCTGTTAGTCGCCTCTTACGACAAGCATTGTTTGCTGAAGATCAATTCTAGGATCTTCACTGGCTTTTTTCTGTACATGTAAACCTCCTACATTAATATCTTGTTAAAGGGACGGTGGGGTAGCCTAGTCGTAAAACCGTTCGCTCCTCACGCCGAAGACCTGTGTTCGAATCCTCAACACACATTCAAAGTGAGAAGCATTTCAGGTGTTCCCCGCCGCGGTATGGCTGGAATATTGCTAAAAGCGGCGCAAAATAATATTCACTCACTCTTTGACGTTCGTCTTTATATCTAGGGGCTATAACAAGGACCGGTCAGCTCGAAATTACAGCTACTGTGTCTCAAAGGGATGCCCATGTTAAACTGTGGCATGATATCTCAATGGACTGCAACTGAAAACAGACATAAGTCTGGCATAACCAGCAACACACACGTGCATGAGCGTTACTGGATACGCGCAATACTGAACGCGATGTTTAACCCTATGTTATTCATCGCCGTGACCGGTATTATTTGTGAATATGTCCTGCTAAAATAAAAAAGAAGTTAATGCACGAAATATTATTTTTTCGTTTCAGTGATCCCACCAAGTCTCGCACCGTACGTACCAACACGTAAGTAACCCCTGTCAAACCACGTTAAGCTCAAGGCAAATAAGAGATCGTAAGTAAAAAAAGCGTGTTGATATGCCAGCTTTCCAGAACATCACTTCTCCAGAACTTCAGAAATACTCGATTTAATAAAAAATGAGAATTTAATTATTTGATGGCCGCATAACCACATAGGAATTGTCACATAACCATATATATTTAAGCGTCACTTCAATTTTATAAATACGTCCTTTTATGTAATGCAGTGCTTTACATTTTATTTCTGTGTTTTAGAATGCTTTGGAGGGCTGAAAAGTTACTATTTCTATCTTATGTCTCTGTTGCAGCAGGGGCGGTGGGGTAGTCTAGCGGTTCGATTCCCCATATGGGTACAATGCGAGATGCCCATTTCTCGTGTCCTCCGCCGTGATATTCATGGAATATTGCTGAAAGCGGCGTAAAACTAAACTCACTCACTCCGTTGCAGCATCTCCGTCCAATGCGACTCTGATCGACCCGTGCCAGGACGCGATCCCCGACTGTGGCCGTTACCCAAATACTGTGTGCAGAGACTTCACCAAATGGTCCGAGGTGAACTGTCAGAGGACATGCGGCATCTGTACACGTAAGTGACCAGTAGGAACACGCACAGATGTTCTCATGTTCTTTACAATGTACAATTCCCCACCGCCGTGAAATGTTGGTCACCCGAACAAGACTTTACCATCTGGTGGACATATTGACCGAGAGCGAAACCACAGCGGTATGTTCGCGTTTTACCAAGCCATGTTGCGGTACGTCGCGAAGTAAAAAATAAATATATGCACGTTAAAGCTTTTGTTGCTAAAGCGTATTATATATCTGCTACGACACAGAATTCTTTCATCTGTCGAGAAATAATGTAATAAATTAGTTGTCGCGGAATTAATTTATCCGCTGATTACCTGCGATTTATTCGCAACATCTCCGCGAGGCATCCTCGGGTTGTTGGCAGTTGTTTGTGAACACCGTAACAAACTTCCCTGTTATGGTATAAGGTTAAAATGGGTTATTACATGGTAAGTAAAGAAATATTTTATTATTTTCTAGGATTTATATATATTTTGTTTTATACGCTTTTGTAAAATATATGCAATATATATTCATGACAAAGAAATATGTATCTTATATAATCTACATACACATATTGCAACGACTTTACAAACTTCAGATATTTCGTTTCTATTTAGGTATTCTGAGAATGAAAATATATCTTGTTTTGTGAAATTGCAGGAATCGATATTATTTCTTTACAAAATACGGTTACCTTCTGATGTGCTTCTGTCCGTAGCATCCATACCGACAACCCCGGCTCCTTGTGTCGATAAACTTGACAAATGCACGTCGTACAACCCCTCGTCCTGTCTTCCACCTTATGACCAATGGGCAAAGGACAACTGCAGGAAGTACTGCGGATATTGTGGTAAGTGTTTGTTTGTTTGTTGTTGGACATAATAAACATCGGTCTACCTAACCTGGATACGATGACATCCAAGAAGCAAGTCAGCGAGCCTGACCACCCGATCCCCTTTATCCCCTCTTATGACAAGCATGGCTTTCTGAAGATCAGTTCTAAGCCGGTACTTCGGGAGCTTGTAATGTGTTGATGGTGATACATAGATAGCGCTAATCTGTATTCTACATTTTATTGTGTGCCGAGGATGTAAAGTAATGACGATTAAATGTATTGAGGTGGTATAAAAATGTATTGAGGTGGTATAAAAGAAGATGGCAGAAGATTCGAAACCCCTCGCCAAGAATAACCTGCTCAATTTTGGGTCTTATTGTTTAATATTACCGCTTCATGACGGCGACTGGGAAATTATCGAGTATGATTCATACTTTTTAAGGGCAGCATTTTTATTTTCTGTGTTTCTCATCGCCCAACCGACCCTTCTAGTTATATTGCCGACCCCTCCAAAAACCCGTTTCTTTACATTCCAACACCGCCGACTCGAACCTAAAACGTACCCCCTCCTCATATAAAATGTTTATCTTGTAATCAGTCGCTGCCACAAGTCCAAAGAACGCGAGAAATTGTAACAAGAAATACAATAAAGGAGAATCAAGAACATTATTCAGATAATATTGTCTTTATTAGTTGTTTTTTTGTTTTGTTTTTTTCCCCGACCGACCGACTCATTTTCAGAATTTAGTGGCTACGTGAAACACATAAAGAGTGATGCCCTTACTGTCGTAGTGGTCGATATTACGAGCAACGTCCACATCTACAACCAAACCGTGTCTGACCACCTGATCCAATAAATCATCGCCATCGGCTGTTACAGGTTGCTAGCCTAAGGGAAGCTAACGGGTTGTAACAATTGTATCACAGTGACTGTTAACGCAAAGAGCAACAAAACCACAATATCAGAGAATAGATTGATACCATCGGTTGTGACCATATGTGTTGCCGCTGTCCATCATCACATGCTATCACATGTATATTAAACTACGTTTATAACGAACATTCATATAACTGACGGATATGACGAACTGTTTCTGTTGACCCGGCCACATGCAGTATTTTTGTTTCAAAATGCGTATAACGAACTACGGTTAAAACGAACCAAATTAGTGGTTCCTTTGAGTACGTTACAACCGGAGTTTACTGTTTTAATATGCGCTCTTTTGAATTACACTTCTATTTTCTGTGTTTCAGACAAGAAGGCCGTGGCTGGCTATTGTAAGTACAACCAAATGAGATAGGTCCTTGATTAGGTCATTTAAGTTGATCTGAAAATGACTTTTACATGGGTCTGATATCGCGGATGCCCCTCGTTTATAAAAGACACAGTGAACTCTTTAGCAAAAGCACAAAGCCTTCAGTATTTACTGTTACATTTTAAAGATCATATTTATTTAAGATCGTGTGCCAATCCTCTACGATCCTTTGCCAACACCCTATTACTCACGTTCATGTAATAGATAAATGTGTTTCTGGTCATTTCTTAGCGATGTCAGTTTACCCATCAACCCTTCTTAACCGATATCACTGTGCCCAATATCCATGTCAATAATACAAGAAATACATGATCCCTTATCAATGAATAATTATATATAAACCTTTATTAGGAGTTGATTATCCACCAGCTTTTATAAATACTAATATAGAGTTTAAATTTATAATATAAAAATAAAAATGCTACAAAATCTGTTAGAACTCCGCCGTCATCCATCCTTTATCACAAGGAAATCAGTGTCATCCTTTATCACAAGGAAATCAGTGTCATCCTTTATCACAAGGAAATCAGTGTCATCCTTTATCACAAGGAAATCAGTGTCATCCTTTAGTCAGCTCCCACTAGCCCTTCCTTTATCCTCCCTCCACAGTCGGCACGTGCTTTTACAAGGGCAGCCAGTATCAGCAGGGCCAGAAGTGGGAGGACGGTTGTGAGTACGAGTGCGAGTGCACCGACGCCTCTAGGGGACAATACAACTGCTATAACAGGTAAGATACCACATCATCCACACATGTATAAGTAGATCTATGGTATGGTAGTGATACACCTGGAAAAGTAATCAGATCGAATTTGGGATTCGAACACGCGCTTAATGGAGGTAACTCACAACGAACTGCCGCGTCCCAGGCCCACGTCGACCTTAAACTATAAAACCAACCAACCCAACCGCGTCCCAGGTGATTGGACCACCCGTAACACTGAAAGTCAGGAAAGGTCATCGTGATGCTTATAAGGAGATATGACTTGGTTTAACTATTTAATTAGTCTGATCCAATCAGATTTAATATGGATTCGTTTGGGGTTTTTCAGAGAAATAAAACTGTTTCAATCATAAATTATCAACTGAATAATCATTGCTATTGAGGACTTATTTCTGTTTTAACGCTGTACTCGGAATGTTCCACCTATGAGATGGATGATGGAGATGTGGATGTGGGAAGGGTTTCGCTTTTAATTTTTTATAACGGACTCATAGCGATAAAGACCAACGGTCGACACTGTACGGGTACAATGTCGCTTTTTATGAAGTAGTATGGTGTCACGATACTGTAGGGTATCGTGAAATTTATGTCGCTACGATGAAGAGGTACGTCGCTGTGGGGCACTGTGCCACGTCGCTGAAGGGGCGCTGAGGCTGGTGAAGGGGCATGATGAAGACAAATATACTACCAACAAAAGTTTAGACTCACTAGTGTAAATGTAGCCACTTACTTCAGTCAACGTTCTAAACTAGATTTTGCAAAATATTCCACACTGTTTAAGATACTGTTTACACATGAACTGATGTATTGTAAAACATATTCGTAACGCTTGAAAAATTATTTTCATGAGTTCAATAAATCATGAAACTCAGTGAAAATTGGCGAATTCTTAACAAAACTTTACACCAAAACGCAGCTGTTCACGTGCATGATATTTGCAGAAAATTGATGCATGATCCTCGTGCAATTAATCTGCATAAGGTTTGCAGGTGGTTCCCCCAAGTTAGTGGAGAAATTCATCTTCGAATATATATACATAACATATAGTGAGTGCTTTAAGTGAGTCTGAACTTTTGATGGGTAGTGTATAAAACTATGGCTTTGATCACATGACTGTATACAACTTTGGGTCCTGTGAAAAACGTTTGTCACGAGAAGCTAGTGCTTGGTGTTGGAATATCAGCGATGTGTTTTTGTGTCGTTAAGGTGCCCGGCCTACTACAACCTCCCCCCTCAGTGCACGCTGGTGAGGGTCACCGGCTCCTGCTGCCTCAAGCCAGTTTGTGACTTCGATGGCAAATATGAGACAACATCGGGACAGAACGTCGGCACCCTTAACGGAAACAGTAATATATCTCTATATCTTAACGGAAACAGTAATATATCTCTATATCTTAACGGAAACAGTAATATATCTCTATATCTTAACGGAAACAGTAATATATCTCTATATCTTAACGGAAACAGTAATATATCTCTATATCTTAACGGAAACAGTAATATATCTCTATATCTTAACGGAAACAATAATATATCTCTATATCTTATCGGAAACAGTAATATATCTCTATATCTTATCGGAAACAGTAATATATCTCTATATCTTAACGGAAACAGTAATATATCTCTATATCTTAACGGAAACAGTAATATATCTCTATATCTTAACGGAAACAATAATATATCTCTATATCTTATCGGAAACAGTAATATATCGCAATATCTTATCGGAAACAGTAATATATCTCTATATCTTAACGGAAACAGTAATATATCTTTTTTTCAGTTCCAGAAGTACATATGTTAATTTTGGATTACAGTCCGTTTGACTCAAAAGCTGACCGATGAATTGCAATCTAACTCGAAAACTAATATACATAAAATAATCAATGAAACGCTGATCATAATCAAAACATGAGACCAACTCTGTGAGGTTTTTGCAGAGTTTAAGCCCTATAAATAAAACAAACTGTCATTAAAATATTGACACAGTTCACTATTTGTTACGAGGGAGGAGTGTAGAGAAAGGTACAGCCAAGTGTTCGATCGCGAGAAGCACGTGCACAAGTGCTGACAAATGACTGAGTCAATAACGTTACTATGTTGACTTCCCCTTCTCATTCTCTAATGAATGGGGGTGGGGGGTGGTTATAGTAGTGGTTAAAGCGTTCGCTCGTCACGCCGAAGACCCGTGCTCGATTCCCCACATGGATACAACGCGTGGAGCCACTGTATGAAATAAGCCCCAAATCCAGCCAGACATCAGGGCTGGTAACTTCAAAATGTTACAAGCCCAAAATGGATTTAGCCAGACCAAATATGGTGAATTTACTCAAATGTATGGAACATCTAAAACTTTTACCAGACCATCAGGCTGGCTAGCTGTAAATTTAGACCGTCCGTCAGAAATCTAGAACGCCTCGGGCGGTCGGACGGGCCTTATTTCATACACTGGTGAAGCCCACTATTCTAACCCACTCACTCACTCCAGTGACTTGTTTGTTTGTTTATGGACAACGATGTTGTTTTCCCCAGAGGTGTGTGTGTACAACGGTCAGCAGTACTACCAGAGCCAGACATGGCAGGTTGGATGTGAGTTCGAGTGCAAGTGTGAGGACGCCGGTGTTGGGTTGTGGTCCTGTCAGAGCGTGTAAGTATAAGAAGTACAACTGTATTCAGGAACAAGACACAACACGCCTGACCATGGTAGGCAGTGAATAGAATCTGAGGGTGTAGTTATAGTATTATCAGGTCATGAATAAGTTCAAGTTAAGCAACGTTGGGCGCGGAGAGTCCTTAGATGGGTGACCGTGTTTGGCAACTTGACTCCGAGCCGCGAGTGTCTTGGACTTCAGTCCTGCCCCACAACGAAGCACGTGTGATACATATGGTCTCACCTTAGGCAAGTGAGTTTGTCCAAACTTGCCTCTGTTCACCCAGCAGAAAATGGGTACTCGGTGGGATTGTCATGTGACTATTAACCTTCTAGCGGCTGGGTTATCCGGGGTAGTTATAACCAGATTGTGTCCTAGCGCTTTGAGCATGTGCCTTGTACATGGAAGAGGCGCGTTATAAATTCACAATTATCAAATCGTACGGTCATGCGTACTAGTGGAATCGTCAACACCATACCCGACACTATTATCACGACCTATCATGTGCTAGCAAGTATCAAACCGCATGGTCATCACTCTCATAACTGAATCACGGCGGTGTTGTCAAAATCAATTTTCTTTCTTGGAGTAGTCGTCAGTATTAATCGTCAAAACGGCAGGATCGGCAATATCAATGCAGTATTTAAGAAATACAGTTCGCCCCAATGTATAGTGGGTGACCGACTGCTGTTGACGCTGATGACGTTACCGTCAGGAAGCGGTTTCTAAGGTGTAACGTCCTCAGGTGGTGGTCTTCCTGCGCAGTTGTCACCTGGGGTCTGCCTGTCTGGGGCCTGTCAAAGGTCTGACCAGTTTGTTGGTAGCGCCGACGAAGGTTCCTGACGGTCACGACGGTCACGACGGTCACGACGGAGCAATTGAAGGTTCTTGCAACGTGACCCGTTGTAGCGCCGATTTGCAACATTCCGATGGCCCTCTCTCGCTCTGCTGAAGTTAACCTCGGCATTGTAAAGTGGTTTTCTGCTGAAGTACGATCTGCTCTGTGCTGTGAGGTGATTTTATACCATGCATTCACGTGCATTTTACCCTTACTTGCAAAACACGTGCATTTTGCTGTTTTCGATGCAAAGTTGTCAAGAGGTGCGTTTGAGCGCTGATGTTGGTCAGAATCGAACCCTTGTTGTTGGCAATAACTATGGGGCAATTTGCATTTGATTATATTTTCTTATGTTTATATTATGAAACATTTTGCAAGAGAAAGTTTCTTTTGCTCATCAGTATAGTTAAAGAACGAGGACGCTTGCGTCCGAGCGCTTTAACGTTAAAATATATATATAGTTCAGAGCAAAAGTGTACTTCATTATGCTATTCATACATGTGGAAGAGCTAACTATATTTCTTTTCTAAGATGCCAAATTTAATACACAGCGGAATTAATCTATTCAGAAAAAAAACAGAAAAGCGACGGTGTCGTGACCTAAATTAACAATCCTCGTTCAGGGCTAACTGACGGTCTCTTCCGGTGACGTGTCTGCCCCCTACGTTAAGACGCATGTTGCCGTGAAAACAAATGATAAACAGTTCGAAGACGGTTTACGTTTTCTATATTATGTTACTTACGTCTGTGTATTGTAAACTACATTGGGCAATGTGAACGTTCCACTTAAGTCTAGAATATCGTATGTTTAGAACAGTAAATCCATATGAAGTTGACTAGTCACGCGACATTCCACGGTTGCATTATGGGACTGTGGACTCAGTCAGCGAAGATTGCCGTATCGCATTTAAAATGTGATTAAACCTGAGACAACTATACGTCGAAAAAGGTTAAAGGTAATGTTTCCACCAGTAATGCAACGTTCATATTGCCCCATATGGTTTACGTTAATGACAGATGTAATTAAAATAATTCAGAGAAGATATTTAATCCGAACGTAAACCGTCATCAAACTGTTATCATTTGTTTTTTTCTGGTAACGTTCGTCTTAACGTAGGGGAGCTGACACATCAATAGAACAGCGCGCCATTTAGCCCTGTGCGAGGATTCTTAATTTAGGTCACCGACACCGTCGTTTGTTTTCTGCCTTAAATTAATCGTAATTATCCTTAGAAAGTATTGAATTTAGCATCTTAGAAAAGATGTGAAGTTCGCTCTACTCCAATGTGTTTTGTAATAAAGTATAGTTTTGCCCTCAACTATTATAACATCAAAGCACTCGGACTACCGTCCTCGTGCTTTAATTATTATAGTTCAGGGCAAAACTATACTTTATTACAAAACACATTGGAGTAGAGCGAACTTTATTTCCTAACTATTATATGAACTCAATTATTCTCCAATAGACATGATCCGTTTTTGCTATAACACTTTTAATCCATGATATTTTGCTTTTCATAAAATCTTTTTTGTATCCAGCTGTGCCCAGTACGGTCCCCTCCCCCAAGGATGTAAATTGGTTAAGAAACCAGGCGAGTGTTGCGCTAAACCCGAGTGCGAGTTCAACACTCAGATAGGATCATTCACAGGCCAAGGAACCACCAGCGGAACGGGCGACAGTGAGTTGGAATTATAGTCTTTGTAAATCCGTCAATCAACGAAGTTGAAAGGTTGGAGTTAAGTGTTTTTCGTGAATGTCAGGTCAAAGGGTGACATCACATGTGTACCAATAATACAGTTTCACGCCACTTCAAGAAAAAATCCAGAAATATCACAACATATCACCAGAAGTGGACCATATGGGAATCGAACCCGTACCGTCAGCAAGACGGATGGACTTTCACCACTATGCTTCCCGCGTTGAGCAGATTTCACAAGCTGAAACATATACAGCTTTATTCCATGTGAAATGTTCGATCAGCGAGTGCGGTGGGGTAGCCTAGTGTTGAAAGTGTTCCCTCGTCACGCTGAAGACAGGGTTCGATTCCGCATACCGGTACAATGTGTGAAGCCTATTTCTGGTGTCCCCCGACTTCATAATGCTGGAATATTGCTAAAAGCGGAGTAAAACTATACTCACTCACTCACTCGTTAAGCCGGACAGCGACATGTCTAAACGCCTAAAAATGACGCGTCCGCCCGGAGAGCGGAAGGTCGCGGGTTCAATCCCCGACCACGTCATACCAAAACACGTTAAAATATGGTACTTGTTGGTCCCTGCCTGGCGCTCGGCATTAATGGGTACAACAAGGACTGGTCGGCTCAGAGTCAGTATAATGTGTCTGAGTGGGGTATTCATGCTTCACTGCGGCATGGTATCTCAGTGAGCTAGCACTATAAAACAAGCTTCAGTCTGGGCTAGTACAAGCAGCCGCACCTACACATACACATGCATGCACGTCGTCATATGAGCGAAATATTCTCAAGCACGACGTTAAACCCAATTTCACCTCACCTCACCTCACCTAAAAATGACGCTGAGAACTTTTAGCCACATTCAACGCCAATGTATCCATTATTACAGAGGCGCCACTGACGACCGTCGGGCCTTGTATCGACGTGCAAACCAACTGCAACTCGTTTGCTCCTGACGCCTGTACCAAGTATAAGCGCTGGGCATTGGACAACTGCCGCAAACACTGCAATTTGTGTCGTGAGTATCATTTGCCATACCATTTGAAGATACAGGTTGGGATTGGTCCTCGACATCCCGTGCTTGTCGTGAGAGGCGACTAATGGGATCGGGGAGGCAGCTTCAAATATTTTAACGTTAAAGCACTCGAAAGCATACTCGAACTGTATTTCTTAAGTCAAGGTTTGTGTCATGTCTCTTATTACTGTGGATTACAATTATGCTCTCTTTATTTAAGAAATACAGTTCGCCCTACCACCATGTATAGTGTTATAAAGCACACTTTCGCCCTGAACTATTATAGTTAAAGCACGAGGACGCTTGCGTTTCTGAACAACCCGAGTTTGACAACACTTCACACGTCAAACTCAGTCTGACAACATCGAAAGTGGGATGGAAAAGTTGGTGAGAATAGAGACCGATCCTATTTCTCGACAATAGTTTGACAACTGTGAAATGGTGGTGGCGGTGTTGTTGGAATGTTAACACTCTCAAACTCGAGTTTGACAACATGTATTGTCAAACTTTAGTTTGCCGTGTGAAGGCCGCTTAATAGAAGTCTCATAGCAATCGACGGAATAATCTACTCGGAATGACATACATGTATTATTTGTCCCTTGTTAATTAATGATTAACACCATATATACTATTCAAAAAAGAAACGCATAACCCAGAAATGTGTTGCGAAAATGTTGTATTTTCGGGAATAATGCAACGTCCATGGAACCGCGACAACTCTGTGATGAAACGTCAGAGCCATTTATCATCCAACGCAGCACGCCCGACCCAGACGCCCATCCCGGCCCCAACCAACCAAGTTCAGCACAAATGACCGGACATCCCTCCCAGTCCAGGCACCGCCGCCGTGCCTCACCCGGGCAGCGGTCGATCACCGCAGCACCCGGACGATCTGGGCCGCAGTGGACTGAGGCCCCGTCTGCACGGACGCCTGTCATACCCCTTGATGCAACTGAGCCGACATCGCCCGACCAACATCCAGACCCCACAAACAGAAGATCGACAACCCAGCATCTCAACGACGATCCCAGCCCATCAAGACGCAAGGTGGACTGACCCGAACCTCCCAACCCGAATCCCAGCCACACCCCAAGTGGAAGGTGACACACAGGCCTTGACCCCATCAACCAACACTGACTTCCGAGAATCACACACCACAGGCTGACGACAGCCGAGACACAGAGCCTGTGGACAGATGACACAGCACAACCTGAGACCAACTGAACACCACAACGACCAACGACCACAGGACACAGGCAGGAACGGAAGGACATGGACCAACTGACACAGGAGGACCGACCATGGACTGGATGGACACTTGACAGGAAAGGAAGACACAGAATGACAGGAAGGACACAACACAGACACACGGACACACGAACGGACCAGTGGACATAACACATGGAGGAAAGGACAGGAGAACGAACCACAAAGAAAGACACAGGCAGTAGACCAGCAGTGGTAGACCGCAGTAGTAGAAGGACACACAGTAGAAGCAGTAGCAGGACCAGAAAGACCAAACACAGCACAGCAGTGAAAAAGAAAAGGAAGAGACCGCAACAACAGTGGTAGTAGTAGTATAAAGGTAGCAGCAGTGAAGAAGTAGTAGTGAAAAGACCGCAGCAACAACAAAGAAGAAGAAGGAAGAAAAGGAAAAGACCAAATAGGAAGGAAGAAAGAGTAGGACCAAAACAAATGAAGCAGTAGTGGTAGTAGTAGAACATGAAGGAAGAAAAGGAAATAGTAGTGAACAAATGAACAGTGAAGCAGTAGTAGTAGTAGTAGTGAAGTAGTAGCAGAACACAAACAAATAGTAGCAGAAGTAGAAGAAGGCAGTAGTAGTAGCAGACCAAAGCAAACAACAGGGTAGTAGAAGAAAGAAAGTAGTAGAAGAAGAAAAGGGACCCAAACATTAAAGAGTAGTAGTAGTAGTAGTAGCAGAACCCAGCAACATTAGCAGTAGCAGCAGTAGTAGTAGTAGCAGCAGACCGAACAAACAAACAGTGGCAGTAGCAGTAGAAGTAGCAGTAGTAGCAGCAGACCCAAGGCAACACAGCAGAAACAGTGGCAGCAGCAGCAGACTGCAGCAACAGCAGGCAGCAGACCGGCAGCAGACCCAGCAACAGTAGCAGCAGCAGCAGCAGACCGCAACAACAGCAGGCAGTGGTAGACCGTGGCAGGCAGCAGCAGCAGCAGCAGCAGCAGCAGCAGCAGCAGCAGCAGCAGCAGCAGCAGTAGCAGCAGCAGCAGCAGCAGCAGCAGCAGCAGCAGCAGCAGCAGCAGCAGCAGCAGCAGCAGCAGCAGCAGCAGCAGCAGCAGCAGCAGCAGCAGCAGCAGCAGCAGCAGCAGCAGCAGCAGCAGCAGCAGCAGCAGCAGCAGCAGCAGCAGCAGCAGCAGCAGCAGCAGCAGCAGCAGCAGCAGCAGCAGCAGCAGCAGCAGCAGCAGCAGCAGCAGCAGCAGCAGCAGCAGCAGCAGCAGCAGCAGCAGCAGCAGCAGCAGCAGCAGCAGCAGCAGCAGCAGCAGCAGCAGCAGCAGCAGCAGCAGCAGCAGCAGCAGCAGCAGCAGCAGCAGCAGCAGCAGCAGCAGCAGCAGCAGCAGCAGCAGCAGCAGCAGCAGCAGCAGCAGCAGCAGCAGCAGCAGCAGCAGCAGCAGCAGCAGCAGCAGCAGCAGCAGCAGCAGCAGCAGCAGCAGCAGCAGCAGCAGCAGCAGCAGCAGCAGCAGCAGCAGCAGCAGCAGCAGCAGCAGCAGCAGCAGCAGCAGCAGCAGCAGCAGCAGCAGCAGCAGCAGCAGCAGCAGCAGCAGCAGCAGCAGCAGCAGCAGCAGCAGCAGCAGCAGCAGCAGCAGCAGCAGCAGCAGCAGCAGCAGCAGCAGCAGCAGCAGCAGCAGCAGCAGCAGCAGCAGCAGCAGCAGCAGCAGCAGCAGCAGCAGCAGCAGCAGCAGCAGCAGCAGCAGCAGCAGCAGCAGCAGCAGCAGCAGCAGCAGCAGCAGCAGCAGCAGCAGCAGCAGCAGCAGCAGCAGCAGCAGTAGCAGCAGCAGCAGCAGCAGCAGCAGCAGCAGCAGCAGCAGCAGCAGCAGCAGCAGCAGCAGCAGCAGCAGCAGCAAGCAGCAGCAGCAGCAGCAGCAGCAGCAGCAGCAGCAGTAGCAGCAGCAGCAGTAGCAGCAGCAGCAGCAGCAGCAAGTAGCAGCAGCAGCAGCAGTAGCAGCAGCAGCAGCAGTAGCAGCAGCAGCAGCAGCAGCAGCAGCAGCAGCAGCAGCAGTAGTAGCAGCAGCAGTAGCAGTAGCAGTAGCAGCAGTAGCAGCAGCAGCAGCAGCAGTAGCAGCAGTAGCAGCAGCAGCAGCAGCAGCAGCAGTAGCAGCAGTAGTAGTAGTAGCAGTAGTAGCAGTAGCAGCAGCAGTAGCAGTAGTAGTAGTAGTAGTAGTAGTAGTAGCAGCAGTAGTAGCAGTAGCAGTAGTAGCAGTAGCAGTAGTAGTAGAATCAGTACTGTTAATACCATGAACAGTACTTGAAGCATCAGTGGTAACAGTTGTACAAGTAGCAGTAGTAGTAGTAGTAGTAGTAGTAGTAGTAGTAGTAGTAGTAGTAGTAGTAGTAGTAGTAGTAGTATTAGTAGTAGTAGTAGTAGTAGTAGTAGGATGAGGAGGAGTAGTAGTAGGAGTAGGAGTAGTAGTAGTAGTTGTTCCAGTAACCGTGTCATCATCATAGTATGACAGATTAGGTACAATCATATAATACGCAGTGTGTTTCTTAACTTCCTCTGAGCAGTATATCTGAGTACCTGTTGCGTGGATACCAGCCCCTCACTCACTCTGTCTCCTGCAGGTGCCCCAAGTATTTCAACATCCCGCCTGGCTGTTCCCTGGACACAGTAAAGGGACAGTGTTGTAAGGTGATGAACTGTAAATCTGGAACCTTCGTGGGTTCGTCCACCAACCCTACTTCTCTCGGTGCTTATCCGGTCCCGACCCTTCCGAATCAGCCTACCCCCGGCCCTGGACAGACGCCCTCTGCTCGGCCTTACCTGGCTCCCCAGAAACTCGGTGGGTGATATCACCGTTCTTTCACACACTTGCTGATGCCTTGGCGACAATATTGTGTGACATATTTAACCATCTATAGATATAGGCATGAGTGGGATCGTCGTTCTGTTGTTCTCTATATGTATTCATGTGTTTTATTTGGTGTGCACAGGGGCTATTTATTCAACAAAATATACATCAGTTGGCTGATTGTCCCAAAGTCTGCCTGCATGATGTGCATGTGCACATCAGCTCATGGCATGTTCCGCAATTTCGTGGATGCGTTTCAGCTCTTATTACATGTTCCAAAGTCTATTTACATGAAGTTCTGCCTGTACTTTATCTGTTATTATATGTTCCGAAGTCTATTTACATGAAGTTCTGCCTGTATTTTATCTGTTATTACATGTTCCAAAGTCTGTTTACATGAAATTCCGCGTCTATATTTCAGCTCTTACTGCATGTTCCAGAGTTTATCTACATGATATAATGCGTATATGTCATATGTTATTACATGTTCGAAGTCTATTTACATGAAATTCTGCCTGTATTTGATCTGTTATTACATGTTCTGAAGTCTATTTACATGAAATTCTGCCTGTATTTGATCTGTTATTACATGTTCTGAAGTCTATTTACATGAAGTTCTGCCTGTATTTTATCTGTTATTACATGTTCCAAAGTCTGTTTACATGAAATTCCGCGTCTATATTTCAGCTCTTACTGCATGTTCCAAAGTTTATCTACATGAAGTAATGCGCATATGTCATATGTTATTACATGTTCCGAAGTCTATTTACATGAAATTCTGCCTGTATTTTATCTGTTATTACATGTTCCGAAGTCTATTTACCGTATGTGACCGCCTCCGTGGGTGTAGTGGTTAGAGCGTCCGCCCGGAGAGCGGAAGGTCGCGGGTTCGATCCCCGACCGCGTCATACCAAAAGACGTTAAAATATGGTACTTGTTGGTCCCTGCCTGGCGCTCGGCATTAATGGGTACAACAAGGACTGGTTGGCTCGGAGTCAGTATAATGTGTCTGAGTGGGGTATTCATGCTTCACTGCGGCATGGTATCTCAGTGGGCTAGCACTATAAAACCAGCTTCAGTCTGGGCTAGTACAACAGCCGCACATACACATACACACGCATGCACGTCGTCATATGAGCGAAATATTCTCAAGCACGACGTTAAACCCAATTTCACCTCACCTCATTTACCGTATGTATACTTCAGTTGGCTGCATGTACAAGGGAACACTATACCAGCAGGGACAGAGATGGACAGACAGCTGCGACTACTCTTGCTCATGTGACGACGCAGTCTCAGGGCGATTCACGTGCTCCCCAAGGTCAGTGTCAACCCTAGGGATAGTCCCGAAATGTGGCAAAACGAATTGTATAGAGTATTTATTTTTGGGTTCAAACAAAGAATGTTTTTGTGTTTGATATAAAAAACAGAGTGACTGTCGATACAGGTTGAAAACGAGGGTTGTATGATATATAACAACACAAAATATATGAACGAAAAATACACTGGTGTCTTTGCAATGACGTCACACTAGTCTGCAAAGCTTTGTGATGCAATTTCACTGTTCCGATAGAGGTATTGCTTGATCTCAGTCTAGCCATTTCATTCGTGGAAACCAGTTTTGTATTGTAGATATATACATGTATAATTAATATATTTATGATTTCATCCAATATGATCGTTTCAAAGTATGACGTATAATATGTAAATCGTGTTGCTTATAATTACCCATTTTGGAATAATCTCGGAGGCACTGACAACAAAATTGATATCATATAAGCTTTTAGAGTTACCTGCTATCAACACACAATGCATCTTAGAAAGTGGTCAAAGTTTACTAACATATGCAATGTTTGGGAGTATACATTCCCAGTAATGTGAACATTGAGTCTCATCCAGCTGTAAAGTACCTATCTCCTGCAGCCAAATTCAGCGATCTAACCCACTGAGCCAGTGCAGTTTCTTCAGAAATGAAATGTTGACTACTGGTAGTCTATCCCACGCAGTTTGTGTACCGTACTCACAAGTGTAAATTGGCACGGCCCCAAGGCCATGAGGGGCGGTCGGGTAGCCTAGTGTTTCGCTCATCACGCCGAACCGAACACCCGGATTCGATTCCCCACATGGGTACAATGCGTGAAGCCCATTTCTGGTGTACCCCGCTGTGATGTTGATGGAATAGTATTAAAAGTGGCGTAAAACTAAACTCACTCAGTCACTCCCATTGCCATGAAAAGACAATGCCTTTCAGAATATTATAGACCCGTGATGGTCCGGGGTAGAATTGGCCTTCAGTAATCCATGCTTGTCGTAAAAGGCGACTAACGGGATCGGGTGGTCAGACTCGCTGAGTTGGTTAACACATGTCATTGGTTCCCATTTGCGCAGATCGATGCTCATGCTGTTGATCACTGGATTGTCTGGTCCAGACTAGATTATTTACAGATCGACGCCATATGGCTGGAATATATTGCTGAGTGCGGCGTAAAACTAAACTCACTCACTCAGAAAATTATACGTTAAGTTCTGTCGTAACCTGTAACCACTGTACTCTGTGTCTCCAGATGCCCCAGTTTCACGGGTCTGCCACAGGGATGCGTTCTGAAAGACACACCGAATGATCCATGTTGTCAAGTCCCAGACTGCAGTGGTGCGCCGGCCGGAACTACAGTAGTGCCATCGTATGGCCCGGGATTCACGGGCTACGGACCTGCTGTGTATCCATCCGGATATGGACCAGGAGTCTCCGGGACTGGATTGCCTCCAGTTCTGGGTCAGACCCAGGCTCCCGTGACAGGGAACACAGGTAGGCCAATACCTGTTGTTAGATTTTATTTAGGCAGATAGGCGTAGCGAAGAAAAGTAATAAAATAGAATAATGCTGTGAGTGAGTGAGTGAGCCGCCTTTAGCAATATTCCAACAATATCACAGCGAGGGACACCAGAAATTGGCTTCCCATATTGTACCCATGTGGTGAATCGAACCCGGGTCTTCGGCGTGATGAGCTAACGCTATAACCACAAGGCTACCTGTCCGCCACGAACAATGCTGTGACCTGGGAACATAACTAACATAAAGATTTAATCATCAGTGCCACTATCCATCTAGCTGGCTTCCATGTCATTAGTAATTCTTGAGTTACTCCTGACCATTAGGGGGCGGTGGGATAGCTTAATGGTTAAAGTGTTCGCTTGTCACGCCAAACACCCTGGTTCGATTCCCCACTTGAGTACAATGTGCGAAGCCCATTTCTGGTGTCCCGCGCCCAGATATTGCTGGAATATTGCTAAAAGGGGCGTATAACCAAATGCACTCACCTGACCATTGGTGTTCCTCCATTACTGATGCACTCTGACCTGTTTGTAGCCGGCTGCCATTACCAGGGCAAGACGTACCAGGCTGGGGCGACGTGGTCGGATGGATGTCAGTACAAGTGTGCATGCATCGACGGCAACACCGGATACTACAAATGCACCGACAGGTCAGTCAAGGTCGGGGAGTAGCAGAATGGAACCAGATGGGTCAGGGAAAGTGACGATCGGTGACTTGTCTATCATCGTACCCCTACGGTGTGGATCGTTTCTCCAAATATCAGCCACTGTAGTCCTATGTCCAAACTCGATTACCTGCAGGCAACTTCCTCATACAGTTGGGTATCGCTGTTCACAGTGGACAAAAGTAAAACAAACAAAAGCAATGAGAAAGATATTCACTTTATAATGTCATTAAAACTTTCGACAATGTACAAAGCAAGTTCTTATAATAATGACTTAATATACCCGCGTTAAACATAAACTGAACTGACAAACAAACTGATTCAGACGAATGTCTGCATCCGGTCTTGTAACCATGGTAACATATCTTCATGCGTGTTGTTTTCCAGGTGCCCACAGTTCCAGAACCTTCCACCCCAGTGTTCTCTGATCACGGACCCCAAAGATAGCTGCTGCAAGACCTATCAGTGCAACTTTGCCCAGCAGGCGACCACACACAAACCTTTATTCGCCGTCACCACCCCCCAGCCGGGAGTTGGTGAGTATCATCTATATTGTGGTGTCGATACCGGGTTTCCGGTTAGGTGTACGTCGACTCCATGCAGCGCATTTCACATTGTGTTTTTTCACCCTTGTCATTTCAGGGTTAGCATATAATAATTATCCATCACAATCAATACATATGACCACTTTTCTATATCACTGTTATCTGTATAAAATCATCACAAAGTATTGTAGGGATAAGCCTACCTAGTGGTTTAAGCATTCGCTCGTCACGCCGACCCGTGTTTGAAGCCCACATCTGGTGTTCCCCGCCGTGACTTTGCTGGAATATTACTAAAAGTGGCGTAAAACTAAACTCACTCACTCATCACTGATGTCCGAGAGTTAAGCAGGGTCGGTTACATATTGCACAACGGCCGTATGTATTCACGGGTGGCGGACGAAAGTTGATAACGCAGATATTGAATTAGTGACGATCTATGTTTCACGTCCTGTATATTTCAGACTACTGTGTGTATAACGGCCTGTATATTTCAGACTACTGTGTGTATAACGGCCTGTACTACCGCCAGGGGGAGCAGTGGAGCGATGGCTGTACTCTCACCTGTAGATGTGAGGACGCAAAGAACAATTACCACCAGTGTACAGACAGGTACGACAGTAATACCAGTGACCCCTCTATTGTAGGCTTGGGAATGTACATCATCTATGGGGGCAGCATCGCTTTCTCGCTATCAGTTGCGGCTGCGAAGATACGTTAACACGACGAGAATGCGATAGCACGAGATGAGAAAGTGATAGCCCGAGACGAGAAAGCGATGTACAATTATAAATACGATATATATGGTCGCTTGCTCGTCTTGAGTTATCGCTTTCTCGTCTCGTGATATCGATTTCTCGCTTTCTCGCTTTCTCGCCTCCGAGTTTTAAGGCGAGAAAGCGATGGCCCTAATCAGCCACCATAGATATACAATATAGGACATAAGACTTGTTGTAATATTATATAACTTTTCAAAGGGATGGTTACTTTGTAAGGCATATTAAGATCCTGATTAGAATTGATCTTCAGGGACCCATGGTTGTTCTAAATGGCGACTAATTTTACGGGTACGGGTGACATTGATGCTCGTGATGTCAATCACTGGATTATCTGTTCAAGGCTCAATTATCTACAAACTTCCGTCATAAAGCTGGAATATTGTTGTTTGCGGCGTTAAAAAGGAAACATGCACGCACACTCACACACACACACACACACACACACACACACACACACACACACACACACACACTTGAATTTGTACATAACCTGTTAAAGCAGTGGCTTGGTCTTACATAGCAGAACCCCCGCCCGTTCTCCTACCCCAACCATAAAATACATTGCCCATTGATGGTGATGATATATCGGTTTGCAGGTGTCCAAGTTTCACCAACGTTCCTCTTGGTTGCAAGTTGGTGCCAGACCAGAAAGATCCCCAATGTTGCAAGGTTCCAGAATGCGACTCCGCCAACAGCGGTACTGGCACCGGCTCAATCCAGCCTCTTGGGTTCTTGGGTTCTTTCACCGGCTATGGACGTCCTCCTGGAACCAACCTCCCATCTCAGGTCGGATACAAAGGTAACTGCAACACTGCGCATGCCCTCGACATTGGATAATGACACGTGGAGATCGGGGTGGGGTGTGTGTGGGAGGGGGGGGGTGGGGTTGGAGGATACTATTTCAAAAGTATTTATGCATGAGAGAACAGGGTTTGTAAATATTTTATGTACGTTTCAAACACCTTTGAGAATGATGATGCCTGTGAACTTCACGCAAACTGAAAAATATACAATATTGGTAAATATACATTTACTCACCAAGAGTGAAGTATACGTTCGCTTCCCATTACTAAATTACTAAAACCGGCGTAAAACAATTATGACTCATTCATGAGACATCTTGTCCCCCAAACCAAACATACATACAGTATATGTCAGTTTACAGATGACTCCTTACTTGAATGTACTAAGTGTATATGCTTCTGAGCCTGATAACAGGATTGTATCAGCACCCCAGTGGTTCACAGTTTTATTAAGATAGTACCTGACCCCGCCCCTTTTGTACCCTCAGATGCATGCATCTACAAAGGACAGATCCACCAACAGGGAGATACCTGGCAAGATGGCTGCAGTCTCGACTGTGAATGCCTCGACGCCAAGTCCGGCAAATACAGGTGTACCGACAGGTAGGCACAGGATCCGGTTACCATCTTGGTACCCATATAGGGGAAATATAATTATGGATGTGAACTTGTAATGTGATTGTTTGTTGTTTGTTGTTTTATCAGCAATATTCCAGCTATATCGCGGCGTCTGTAAATAATCGAGCCTGGACCAGACAATCCAATGATCAACAACATGAGCATCGATCTAGGCAGTCGGGATAAGATGCCATGTGTCAAGCCACTGTTTGATATGACTGAGTGAGATTCATTTCAGCACTTTGAATAGTAATAGATAGCATCACAGCATAGAAATTGACGTAGGAGAAAATTTCACATTCGATGCTAGTTGATGTTAAGAATAAAAAGCTATACAGACAAGTATTATAGCAGCACACAAGGAAAGTAAATTACCAGATTTGAACCCACAATCATGGGGCGGTGGGGTAGCCTAGTGGTTAAGACGTTCGCTCGTCACGGCGAACACCCGGGTTCGATTCATCACATGGGTACAATGTGTGATGCCCATTTCTGGCGTCCCCCGCCGTGATATTGCTGGAATATTGCTAAAAGCGGCATAAAACTAAACTCACTCACTCATCAAACCTGACACACCGAGTGGACTTAATGTCGTCCCAGTTCTGTTGCTCGTGCGGTTATTTTATAAAATATCCCGTTATAACCAATAATCCTACAAGGGATCGGAATTAGTTCTTTGGGAGGTTCAGTTTCTTAACCTCATCCCCGCCATGCCTCCCCCTTCAGGTGCCAGCGTTATGCCTCAATCCCCGCGGGCTGCACCCTCATCCCCGACTCCAACGACCGGTGCTGCCAGAAGGCCGAGTGTGCCCCACCCTCCCAGACAGGGAGCTGTGTGGACAAGAAGGCAGACTGCTACCTGTTCGGCGACTATTCTTGCCGCGATCCCTACACAGCCTGGGCCAAGACCAACTGCGCCAAATTCTGCGGTTTCTGTGGTAAGAGAAACATCCCAACAATTTGTATTATTCGTTACCGTATACTACTATACTCTTAAAAGACTTGAAAATTAGGATAGGAAGTATATGCGTTAACAAACCTTTCAAAGTCAGACATCTTATGAACCCCCCACCATTTTTTTTTATCGCCACCCTTAAACACAACGCATGGGTTGCGCGTGCACAACGCAATAGCCCCATACACCTGCATGGGGTGTCATTCTTGATTTTGTCGGTTTTCAAGAAGGTCGATAAATCACTGTAGACCATTAATTTTGACAATCATCTTGCATAACACAGTTGTTAAAGTACTGTCGGAAATAGAAAAAACCCGTTTTTTTCGCATTTATATCCACAATTTATGTAGTTAATATGTGAAAGTGTGCAATATCTGTTAAACTAAGTTCGGCCTAACTACAGTCTCAGTGGTGTGGAGATAGGAAACGTTAAAAAAGGACTTTACTGAGGAAAGATTAGTGCAGAAATGAGCAATGTGGTTTTTGTCCAAGACCAAGTCGACTTATTTGGAACAGGCCTTGGCTTTATGCAAATTAGTGTGCGATAATATTATATTACAAATGACATTTTTTAAATGCCCATTTTGAAATTAGACTTAGCTTCATTAGAAACGATAGCTGACGTACAAAATAATATTTTTAATTATGAAACTCTTAAGGATGAAGCTACCACGGAGTCTCACTACCACTATGAAAACAAACAGACATGGGGGGTCGTCTCAAGAGCAAGACCAGGTCGGGTGTCGCAGACGGTAGCTGGGGTCGGGCTGGGGGGTTGTTCTCTATTCGCCTACATCCCAATTCGCCTACAGTCTTAAAACAACATTTCATGGTCTGTTGACTGTTGATTATGCAATGATAAACTAGTGTCACCCCTATGATCTAAAGGTGGACTCTTCTAGTTGAAGTAGTTGATGTACAAAAAGAATTTATATATTTCTGTTACTTGTTATTTTCTGATCACAATGAAATGATAATTTATTTATCATATATCACATCATACCATGAGTAGAGATATCAGCTACGATAAGATAATTCTTTAGGGGAAATAAACTGGGCAAGTAACAATTTACAAATAATATCCAGTCCTGTCGATCTTCGGGTGGCCATGCTACCTATATATTTTGAGACATTTAATACGGTGGCTGATTTAAGCCTTTCTATGGGTATCATACTGTTTTACATATCAATATATAAGACATATTCAACTCTTTTCTAATTTTAACGCTGTTTTTAAGAAAATATTTTACCAAAGCATCAAGTGTGTACTTTCTTTTGTGCGTCAGTTTATTTGGGATTTCAAATACCCGCATAAAAAATTCCTATTGCCGATACATGTCATACTGATATTTCCGTATGGAAGTACATTGAGGTAGTAATTGCTTTATCTCATTAATGCCCCCCTGCGTTCTCAATAACACCAGGGTAAAGGTCTCTCGGACATTGGTCCTGTGATGTATCCAAAGTTAAGCATGAACAAACGATCGATATATATTCTTTGTACCAAAATTGGGAATCGAACGACGCTTTAACCACTGGGCTACACTTCGAGTACATGACTCAACCTCTAAACTGATTTACATAGTATATACATACGTGTAGCATATACATTTAAAAATCCATTTAACCTTTTTTCGTCAAACTTTCCTAAGTTCATATGCTCAGATATTAAATATAGTATTACTCTTGCAAAAAAGTAGGAGAACTTCATTTTTAATTTACGATTGAAAAACTTGTGAGATATATGAAGTCAATTAATGTTGATATGATAATAATGAATGTTTAGAGAGTGCATCACCACTCGTACTTCCTTATGACCATAGTTGTTTGTACAATAATCGCTCTTGAAAGATGATTGGTGCATGACGTGAAATTTGCATGTGTATAATTTTCATTTTCAAACAAAAAAAACCCCTGCTAGACACACACATTAAAGTACTGTCGGAAATAAAAAACCCTGTTTTTTGACTGTTACTCTGTATCCCTACAATTTACACAATTGCAAATAGCATATGTCGAAATAATCCACATCGGCCTAACTGGGCGTTCAGTAGGATGCGTAATAGGATATCCAGGAAGTCACAAGTCACAAATATTGTGTACGTGTTGCAATAACACCAGATATCGTACCCAATTACAACGTTGCTAGCAAAATATTTGTTTATTTGGGAATAGTCTCAATACACCAGGTGTGTACTTTCTTTTGTTCGTCAGTATACATATCTTTTTATTTCCTTTATTTAATATTAACCATACTGTAACACGCGAAGATAATTATCTATTAGTCTTTTGAATATAATTGAACAAATTTCCATGTAACTGAACATACTGAAGTAACGTTTAGGAACTGCGCATGAATACAGTGTATGAAAACCGCCCAATTGTTCTCAAAGTGACACATTATTTGCATCCATGTTTGTGCGGGTACACAATCAGCAAATTGTCTTACAACCCATTTTGTGTTCTTGGATAGGGGAACGTAAGTATATTTTTTTGGGGAAAAACACTGAATTGGTGATTACAGGTATTCCCTGTTGACTTCGTTTTAATTCGGATCGTGGTACCAGATTTATAGGCTTGTTGCATCCTGTTTTGATAACACTGTCCGTTATATGGTAAAACGCTGTATATTTGACAGGCACAAAGACGTCCCCGAACCCCCTCAACTGCAAGGACGAGATCCCCAACTGCAGCGAGTACCCCAAGGACAGCTGTGTCGGGGAATATGCGTCGTGGGCTAAGTTCAACTGCCCCAAATACTGCGGCTACTGCGGCGGAGGAGCAGGTGATGAGCGTGGATTGAAAATAGTTCGGATTAACCACTTCCGGGTTGACTGTGTAGGGATGGAGTTGTGTCCCTTTGGTCAAGATGGATACGGCGTCTGTTAGGAGAGGGGGATCGTGGTTTGATTAGAAGCGATATTCTTGCCATTGTACACTCATAAAATCATCCTGAGGTTCCTTTTTCGGCAAAATTTGTTTCCGATGCAAATAGACACGGCCTGCCTCATATTTTAATTTTAAGAGCCTTGCTATATAATTAAATACGTTATACAAATATTTTAAACAAAATTAATAGGTATTTTTTTCGACCACATGATCACTTGTAGGTTGAAGATGAAACTGAGAAACACTTAAAAAAATATGGATGGTCTGGTGTAAGCTCTACATTCACAGGAACAACTGTTAGGAAATAAATGTTTCTATTACCTACGAGGGCGAAAATATCGGGGTTCATATTTTTCATAGGATGCAAAATATAGGGCAAAATATCACTTTGTCATGGTGATGTGATGTCATAGCACTGTTCATGACGTCACGTCACATGACAAAGTGATATTTTGCCCTATATTTTAATGACGTCACGTCACATGACAAAGTGATATTTTGCCCTTTATTTTAATGACGTCACGTCACCATGACAAAGTGATATTTTGCCCTATATTTTGCATCATATTTCTTCTGTGAAGTTGCGTTCTCCATGCAGCGACACCAGGTTGCCAGCATATGTTTGAATGTAGATTTTGGTTAATTTCTCCTCAATTTGTCGACTTCTGTAATAAACAGAATATATTCGTGCCCATATCATACTATGTCCACGACACTCGTGCCTAAATATTGGTATATCCCTCGCCCTCGCTCGGGAAATACCAACATTTAGGCACTCGTGTCGTAAACATAGTATGACATGGGCACTCATATAGTATCCTCTATTTATGAGGAAGTGTTCCTCCTGAAGGAAATGTGTGCTGAAGACTACTGTTTGTTGCAGCTCCAGTGACTACCCCGAGATCCAACATCATCGTTTACGGGAGCGCTGTCCCCGTTCAAACTGGAGGTGGGTCATAGAAATCAGATACGAACTGTTTCATGATGTGACGATGTAAAGAGTACATACACTGAATCATTGCTATAAGATATCCATTCCGATATGTTAATGATAACGGAATATAAGTACAATGTTATCAGCAGCCTGGTTTCCATGGCAATTTCAACACCCATGGTATTCACTGCTACTCATTGATATCTTCATCTTTTGTATCATGCTTTACAATTGATGATATGTCACGTGAGGACACGAACTGACCAATCATCTACGGTGATAGGGGGGACGGTGGGGTAGCCTAGTGGTTAAAACGTTCGCTCGTCACGCCGAAGACCCAGGCTCGATTCCCCACATGGGAACAATGTGTGACGCCCATTTCTGGTGTCCCCCGTCGTGATATTGCTGGAATATTGCTAAAAGCGGCGTAAAACCATACTCAGTCAGTCAGTCTACGGTGATAAAATATATTGTACCTATACAGAGTTGAGCCCCTTTGTTATGCCAGGATTCTGTGACAGGTACTCGAATCCCAGACTCGCCATTATTTTGACCATTCTCAGCACAATATGTGCGCTATGGTCTTCAGGTTTACCCTAACCAGGTGATATAACGCTTTTCAAAGCGGCATTCAGCCAACTTCACTCACTCACTCACCCCTCCCTGTATGTAGGCTCCCACACCGGCTGCACCGACGCCCTCGCCACCTGTGCCCAGTATTCCCAGGCTGCCTGCCGCGACCCCTACGTCGGATGGGCCATCACCAACTGCGCCAAGTTCTGCGGCCTCTGTGGTAAGGACACCGATTGGAGAACAGTAGACATTAGCTTTAAGAAGATGTATTCAAACTCCTAATTTCAAGAATTCAAGTTACTTTACTATAGATGAAATATTCACTCTAGGTGCCAATGTTGATACTCATATTCACTGTAAGAACCCTTATTGGCAAAGTGTCTTGAAGGCTTGGGCAAACTATGTAAGAATAGAAAAAGAAAGTTCCCTTAATATTAATGATATTGTGTCCCAACCCTTATGGCTCAATCATCATTTTAAACATAAATCCTTTTTGATTAAACAATGGTATAGTAAAGGAAGTTATTTTGTAAAAGACATATGTAGCAATAGTGGTTTAATGACTTTTGCTGAACTGAAGAATGTGTTTGATATTAGCGGCACGTTTTTAGATTATCATAAATTACTACGCTGCATTCCTCCTAGTTGGAAAAATTGTATCAATGACCAAATATGTATCAATAATTCAAATGTGGTGATTAGCAATAAGCTAACAGACATTCTCAAACCTGGTAAGGGTTCTAGATTTTTCTATGATAACATTGCTTGTGACGAGTTTCCACCTGTGTGTAACAAATGGGTTGAAAACTTCAATGTGTATTTCTTCATTATAGGTATTGCACCAAGGATGTAAAACTACTAGAATTCCTATTTAAATTCTTATAAATTCGCATAATCTACACCAAAAAGGAACTAGAACAGATGAAACTAGTGAACAAGGATGTTTCCTCCTTCTGTAAAACTAATAGTGAAAGCTTATCACATATTTTTCTAGAATGTGAGCATGTCAAGGAATTCTGGTTGAGCGTGTAATTATACTTGGACACTTTTCTCAATGAAGAAAAAGAAGTGGACACTTGGGCTATTCTTTTTGGTTTCCCAGCCCAGTTTAAGTTTATTTACACTTACTCTTGTTATGTAAAAGACATGTATTCTTAAGTAGTCTTAAAAGTACAACCCTTTCAGTTGAAACAGTAATAAACAAAATTCAAACAAATTTACTTTATTGAAATATTCATTGCCCGCAAGAATAATAATGGGGCTGCGTTTGAAAAAAATGGCTTCCTCTGTCAAACATTTATGAAGAAGTCACCTGACTGTATGTCTTTCAAAAACATTATACCTCGGTATGATTATTCTTCTAATACGCTTTGTGTCTATATGCTTTGGCTGTATTGTCCTTAACCATTTAATTTAATTTAATTTAATTTTATTTTTATTTATTTTATTTTTATTTTCAATTTATATTTTTTATATTTTATATATATGTATATATATGTATATATGTATATGTATGTATGTATGTATGTATGTATGTATGTATGTATGTATGTATGTATGTATGTATGTATGTATGTATGTATGTATGTATGTATGTATGTATGTATGTATGTATGTAAATTGTCACTTACATTCCATGATGTCTGTGTCATTCGCTTTGAACGTATTTGCTATAACCCTGTAATATTATTCATACGTTTTGTCAGTGATTTGTTAGCCAATCGCAACTTAACCCTTTTTGTAAGGCCTACTGTGTTAACACCCATTTGTATGTGAACATTGTCATTGTTTGTTTGAACTCAGAATTGTTGCTCATTCGCTACTCATCTGTGGAATGTTCTTGTTATTAGTTTCCAGTACCAAAGTATCTCTTAAAGAATATGACAATCTATATTTATCATTGTAATAATAATACCACACCAACAACCACAGTAATAGTTGTTTGTTGTGACTGTTATCATTTGTTATCATGATGCTGATATAGATGATGATGACGATAAGATGATGAACAACAATAAGAATAATAATTGTTTGTTGTTATTATTTTCATTGTTGATGATGGTGATGATGATGATCGTAGTATACTAGGCACTCAGAGCTCCAGATAAGATTTAGCTCATGTGGGTACTGCACCCACTGTATTTTTTTGGAGTGGGTATTATGAATGTTGAGTGGGTATTTCATTTTCCGTGACCCACTGCTTTAAAATATGTGGGTATTTCAGTGATTTTACTCACCTAAGTATTATGTAAGTTTACTAAGCAGGTATTTTCTGCCTTATGTCATACCTAATCAAAACCAACTTAAATATAATGGAAATGATTTCATAAAAAATCACTCATCCTATACAGTACAACACTGGTCCTATACTAACAGTACAACTTGATAGCAATCGATGTCTTTTTCATTAGGCAAGCGATTTTTATAAATATATTCCGTACGCATTTGTTTTAAACGTTTTGCGTATCTAACATTTTAAATGCATAATTGATACGCAACATATATTTTTCAATGCGTAATTGGAAATTTTCTATGCGTATTTTACCCTGATACGCAGCTTATCTGGGCCTCTGCTAGGCACATAAAGAAACTTTGCATACAAAAATTGAAAATCTAAATTTATCAAACCTGTGTAGACACATAAGGATTTAAACTCAGAGATTAGTGACATGTATCCAACATGCATGCACGTGCCACGTTCCGTGACGTCAGTGGGTTCGTCCTTGAGGCGTGCAATACGTTGTTGCACGTGCATTCCGGGAAAGAGAAACAGAGCAAATGAATGCCACACAATACTGTCACTTTGGGAAGCTCAACCCCTGCCCTTGCGATCGTTCAAAAAATTAAACGGCTATTGAAACGCATAGCATGCCAAGGCTCACGTCTGCACAACGTCATGAGGCCATTGGGATGGTCCCCGGGGGAATGTCTCAACGACAAGTGGCTGCACATTTCCACTGCCACCGGAACACCATTTCTGCATTGGTGAGACGCTACCAGAACACAAATGACGTCATCGATAGGCCACGTTCTGGACGTCCACGTGTAACAACGCCAAGACAGGACATATGGATAAGGGTGACCCATCTTCGCCACAGGTTTCAGACTGCAGTGATGACTGCCCGAACCATCCCAGGACTTCGCCGTATCCACCCCAACACAGTTCGACAACGTTTACGTCATCACGGGAGCAGACCACGACGTCCCGCCATACGGCCTATCCTGACACAACGTAATCGACAAGCTCGCTGAATGTGGTGCCGAAATCATGTCCGCAGACCCTTGTTTTGGTGGAGAAATGTTGTTTTTACAGATGAGTCCAGGTTTAACATTTCCCATAGTGATGGACGTCAACGTGCCTATAGACGCGTGGGAGAACATTATGCACAGGCCTGTGTCTTGGAGAGGAATCGTTTTGGTGGTGGTTCCGTGATGATTTGGGGTGAAATAACAGCATGCCAAAGAACTCCTTTGGTGATTGTTCAGGGCAACTTAACTGGTGTGGGCTACAGGGATCAGATTCTTCAACCTGTGGCAATTCCTTTTCTGCAACGTCATGGCCCTGGGTTAACATTCCAACAGGACAATGCCCACCCTCATACGGCAATGGTTGCTATGGATTTCTTGCAACACCACAACGTTGACTTACTGCCTTGGCCTGCAAATTCACCGGATTTCTCCCCGATAGAACATGTTTGGGACGAGATGGATCGACGTCTACGCCGTCTTCCTCATCCGCCAGATAACGTCCTTGACCTTGCAACAGAACTTGAGAGAATCTGGCGTGACACCCACAAGCCTTCCTTGCACGTTTGATAGGCTCCATGCGTCGTCGATGCACTGCTGTTCTCAATGCCGATGGTGGACATACCCGTTATTGAGCTTGTGACATGGTCGTTTGACCCCTGTCCCGCTTGTGGACTCGTGACGTCATTGTGATTGACTTTTCAATTGAAATTCTCCCGACTTGTTATGGTCTCATGATCCCTCCATTAAAGTTTATATGTACCTTTGACATTGTTATCGTACTTATCAACTGGGATAATATTTTGACAATGCACAGTTTCATTATGTGCCTAGTATACATTCATTGTAACGCCTTGTCTCTTTATCTGCAGACCAAGTTGGAAAAGTCCAATATTTCTATGTTGTTATTATTATCATCATTAGTGATAATGATGATGATGATGATGATGATGATGATGATGATGATATGTATAATATGATACCAACATGAGTGATCATGATAACCAACATGTTCAACTAATGTTCGTGCCTCTCCTAGCCAGTTGTAACGCCTTGTCTCTCCACCTGTAGACCAAGTTGGAAAGGTCCCCTACGGCACCCAAGGAACAGTGACCATGGGTGGTCAAGGTGGACAGGGTGTGTCGGGAAGCGGCACCTACAACCCCGCTTTCGTGACCCAGTACCCCATGAACGCTGTCACCGGCTTCAGTAAGTCCGTTCCCCGATTCAGGGACAATGTTTTGTTCTTTTTCATAGCTTCGCTTCTTGTTAATGAAGTTAAGGTTTGTATCATACATCATCGTATATCATTACTCGTAATTGAATCCCCGCCGTGATATTGCTGGATTATTGCTAAAAGCGGCGTAAAACTAAACTCACTCACTCACTCGTAATGAAATCCATCTGTTTGAATTGGAAATCGCCGTCTTGGGCAAACCCAGACAGTCGGCCGACCATTGCTCAGACGCCACTGGACCCGTGAAGATCCGGATTAGAATTGATCTTCAGTAACCCATACTTGTCGTAAGAGGCGACTAACGGGATCGGGTGGTCAGGCTCGCTGACTTGGTTGACACATCCCATCGTATCCCAAATGCTGTTGATCTCTAGATTGTATGGTCGAGACTGGATTATTTACAGACCGCCGCCATATACCTGGAATATTGGTTGGTGCGGCGTAAACCTAAACTCGCTCACTCAATGATAAAATCGTTACAAGTGTCAATTGAATACAGCTGGGAGTTGTTGGGAGATGAAGGTTCGTGACCTTGACCTTCGGTCTCCTGGTGTCGTACAAGCCCATTCAAAAATGTCGTACACGTGCTAGTCACACATATTATTCAATATCATAATGGATGATATGGATGACTCTAAATACATCCTTGTGCGTGTTTCTATAAGGGCAAGATAATGACTTGTGAGTTTAATTTTTAGCAATATTTCAGCAATATCACGGCGGGGGACACCAGAAATGGGCTTCACACAATGTACCCATGTAGGGAATCGAACCCGGCGTGACGAGCGAACGCTTTAACCACAAAGCTACCCCGCCGCCCCTTTATGACTAGTGACTGTACGGATATTTTTAAGGCCTGATCAGCGATCATTTTATGAAAACATGTATATGAACTACACAATGCCATTTAGAAAGTGAGGTGAGGTGAAATTGGGTTTAACGTCGTGCTTGAGAATATTTCGCTCATATGACGACGTGCATGCGTGTATATGTGTATGTGCGGCTGCTTGTACTAGCCCAGACTGAAGATAGTTTTATGGTGCTAGCCCACTGAGATACCATGCCGCAATGAAGCATGAATACCCCACTCAGACACATACTGACTCCGAGCCGACCAGTCCTTGTTGTACCCATTAATGCCGAGCGCCAGGCAGGGACCAACAAGTACCATATTTTAACGTCTTTTAGTATGACGCGGTCGGGGATCGAACCCGCGACCTTCCGCTCTCCGGGCGGACGCTCTAACCACTACACCACGGCCATTTAGAAAGTGGTCAAATGTAACATATGTTATATTTGGGATTAAACTTTCTTCGGTCTAGGCGTCAGACTTTGTGTGCTGGCGATTAGGTGCCTGACTCCGAGGGTGTGGGTTCGAATCCCGGATGGGACTCAACCCAACGAAAGTACTAGAATCTGTACTTTACTAAGAAAGTGTAATCCCAAATATAACATATGTTAAAACACATATATGTCAGAAGCTCGGCCTGTACGGATATCACAATGTCATAACAATTGCAACGTCACTTGTCACAACCAAAAATCACAAAAAGATCTCCTTGTAACTGTCAGATCGTAATGATCTATTTATAACGTGCGTCAATACCGACGTTTACGGGACGTCACGGTGATGTCATTCAGCTGGTAAAGTACGAGTTAATAATGAGGCAGTTGGGTAGGCTAGTGGATAACGCGTTCGCTCGTCACACCGAAAACCCAGGTTTGATTAAACACATGGGTAAAATGTGGGATGCCCATTTCTGGTATCCCCTCAGTGATGTTGCTGGAATATTGCTGAAAACGGCATAAAACTTAACTCACTCACTCCCCTAGTGTATAACTGTAAATGTACCATTACATAACGGTATGTTGTATTGTTTGTCAGACGCTGGATGTTATTACAAGGGCCGCGTGTACACAACGGGCGAGGAGTGGCAAGACGGTTGTCAATATAACTGTTCCTGTGTCAACGGACAGACCGGATACTACAAATGTGTCTCAGGGTAGGTCTTCATACAGATATAGAGTTAGCTCCAAGTGTAGATACCATATTAGTCACATCCCATCAAGGTGAATGACCATTCTTTATACTTTAGCTGTTGAGGTCGTTATCGCCGTAGAGAAATGTAACCCCAGGTACCTCTGTGTATATGAATTCCAATCGAATTGGATTAGTGCATGCAGAATGTTCTTGGGAATCATATGTACATAAAGAAAGTTTACTGAGGAACAGCAGTGTGTACAGAAGGGTATGGGGAGAACATAACTGAAGACAGCACGGTACCTCAGAATATTAATGTACACAGAAAGGCACCTTGAAAATATTAATGTTACACCTTGGAAATATTAATGTACTCAGAAAGGTATCGGATGGTGTATACAGAAATGTAACAGATCAACATAAGCCTGTACAGAAAGAAAGTGGATCAGTATAAGTGCATTCAAAGCGGTACCTGGAGTACATTATTGTTATTCTGCTGCCGACATCGAGCACAATAGCCATACCCAAGAGTCAGTGTTTACTAATATCCATTGTCAAATAAGAATGACATTAGCATATACCGTTTTGTTCTGTAGAATTAATTAACAGTCTGTCATAATGGACGTAACCATTCTATACATGTTCCAGCTGCCAGTCCTACCCCAACCTACCTGCCGGATGTACCCTCCAGAATGTGGCCGGATCCTGCTGCCAGACTCCCGTCTGTACCGGCACTGGTACCGGCACCGGAACTGGCACCGGTAGGTCTGGCTCAATATATCTGTTCCTACACATACCGGGTATGCCCAAGCGAATTGTCATATCACCCTCTCCCGGGCCTATTGGGTCGAACGTCGAACGTGGAATTAAAGACCGGCGGTTCGATTCCCAGTGTCGTCATGCCTAAATGCGTTGAAAGATGCTACTTTCTTATTCGGCTTGGCTTCTGTAAGGATAAGTCAAGATAGAAGACTGGAAGACTGTGTGTAATGACCGTGTTAACTGGTTGCTCAATGGGCTAGCACGTAAAACAGGCTTTATTCTGAACTAGTACAATCAGACACAGACACAGACCCATACAAGCTCTTCGGGCAGGTGCTCTTTCTACTCGACCACGGACGGTGTTTCAATTACAGGGGATTATCTGTAGGGCATCAACGCCTGGGGAACAATAGTTCCTGCTTATATGTTGTCATATAAGCAAATCTAATACCACAAAACCACACTACTCACTGGAAGGGTTAATAAAACGATACCAAGATAACCATGTTTTTTACATGGATTTAGTGGCAACTGCTCGGAAATTATGTGAAGCCATACTGGTATCAACGATGCTATACTTGTGAAGCCGCGAGAGCTGAGTGAGTTAGACTGACTCTTAGCGCTTGGGTTCGAATCCCGGATGGTACTCAACCAAATAAAAGTGCTACCATCTGTACTTTACTGAGAAAGTGTTATCCCAAAATATAGCATATGTTTTACTTGACCTTTAAAGGCATTGTGTATTCATATACTCGAGTTGTTCTACAGGATCGTGTTTGTACAAGGGTCAGACCTACCAACAAGGACAGACGTGGCACGACGGCTGTGACTTCACCTGCACCTGCTCTGACTCCGCCGGCTCTCGCTACCAGTGTCGACAGAGGTAAGTCGGACATTCCACCACACTTGTAACATACATTTAAGCTGTATGCTTCTCTCTCGAGGGTAAGACGGTCAGGTGTACGCGTCTTTGTGCCAGTGTCACCCGAGCCGGTAGGCTAGGGATGACACTGCTACGAAAAGACGTACATCAGAACGTATTACCCGTGACAGAAGCGTACAACGTATTTATCATACCGCCATGGTAAATGTACAAAATTCATTTTATTTTATTTTGAAGATCGCTACCGCCTATATGAAGTGTAAACAAAATGGCGTCTGCCTCTGGACTGGATTTTTAAAATCAGTGAAACATTCTGACAAGCCTGAAACTGCTATCAAAACGGTTAATTATGTTTAGGTTGAGTGTGCAAACGATTCAATGTATAAAATAGTTTAGATAAAGCAGTGAAAGTCGGTAAAATAAATCTGTATATAGTGAACTCAAAAACAGCTGATCGAACGGTTTTCGAATTCCTGGCACTGCATGCGCCATCTTATGACGTCATACGATTGTTAGCAATACAGCTTCTGGGCGTAGAGTTTGGCGGTTACCGTGGCAGCGGGTCATATCTTTCCAGAAAACTTGTTAAAGCGTCATTGACTAATGAAATTAAAGTATTTTACATGAAGGTAAGATAAATTCGATTCGATTCCCCACATGGGTACAATGTGTGAAGCCCATTTCTGGTGTCCCCCACCATGATATTGCTGGAATATTGCTCAAAGCGGCGTAAAACGACACTCACTCACTCATTTATACGGGTAGCCATCATAGGAATCAAACCATGGTTGAAGCAACACAGTCACCAGCACGAGCGCGGATCTAAGGAATGGACTTGAATATTACATAATAAATATTAGATATGGACACACACTAAAATGTTTCGTTATTACTGACAAAGATATTCGTTATTATTGAAATACTTTGTTTTGACAAAATTATTTCAGGTTCCCAGATAGTATATTCCTTAAAACGAAACTTGATTCTTTATGACCAAAATCGCTTTCGTAGTCCTTGTAAAGGGCGATAATTAAAAACATATTAAAATTATCAAGCAAATTCTCGGCACTAACAGTGACAATTTTAAGCTCAATGTATATTTTTCCTACAGGTGTATTGCATGGTCTCTCCCAGCTGCGTGCACCCTTCACGACCCTGCCCCCGGAAAATGCTGCAAGACTCCATCCTGTCCCCCCGGATATACCATCAGTTACCCCCCAGGCTACACGGAAGAGTAGACTCATATTGATGACGTCATAATGACGTGGTACACATAACCTCAAAGATAGGCTCAGATAGGCTTGTGATGTTTGTAGTATGTTTACACGAATAAAAGCGGAAAATTGATGTTGTTTTATCACTGAATTTAAATTAGGCGAATTTCCTTATTTTACAGATAAATCTACGCTAACTTCTTCAAGAAGAGAACAATGGTTTGTTAGACTGAAAATGGGATTATACAAGTTGCAAACCCAATAGAGTTAATATCCCAAAGTAATAATTTGACCTTATTTTCAGACTGTCACACAGGGAGGTTACAAATTGTGAAGGGTTAAACCTGAGCTGATTGCAGGTTGTGGAAGTAGTGACTGATATCCCTCAAAACCCACTTTTTGTTTCCATCTCGTTGACACATGTCATCGCATCCAAATTGTGTAGATCGATTATCATGATGTTGATCACTGGACTGTCTGTTCCAGACTCGATTATTTTCAGAATATTGCTGAGTGCGATGTTAAACAACAAACAAACAATCTGGCACCAACTGGAAATTATTAATTATTACACATCTTTTATAGTGTAAACGGGAAGCCGGTTTAACCATGCCCACAGAGCAAAATTTGTATTGGCCTAAACAGGACAAGAAGGTTGCCATGCCAACCCAACGACATTTGGTATAGTGTAAACAGAACAACAGGCAACCATGCCAACAGAACGACATTTGGTATAGTGTAAACAGAACAACAGATGACCATGCCTACACAACGACATTTGGTATGGTGTAAACAGAACAACAGGTAACCATTCCTACACAACGAGATTTGGTAAAGTGTAAACAGGTAACCATGCCAACTTAACGACATTTGGTATGGTGTAAACAGGACAACAGGTAACCATGCCTACACAGCGACATTTGGTATAGTGTAAACAGGACAACAGGTAACCATGCCAAACCAACGACATTTGGTATAGTGTAAACAGGACAACAGGTAACCATGCCAACACAACGACATTTGGTAAAGTGTAAACAGGACAACAGATAACCATGCCTACACAACGACATTTGGTATAGTGTAAACAGGACAAAAGGTAACCATGCCTACAAAACAACATTTGGTATAGTGTAAACAGGACAACAGGTAACCATGCCTACACAACGACATTTGGTATGGTGTAAACAGAACAACAGGTAACCATGCCTACACAACGATATTTGGTATAGTGTAAACAGAACAACAGGTAACTATGCCAACCCAACGATATTTGGTATAGTGTAAACAGAACAACAGGTAACCATCCCTACACAACGACATTTGGTATAGTGTGAACCGAACAGCAGGTAACCATGCCAAACCAACGACATTTGGTATAGTGTAAACAGGACAACAGGTAACCATGCCTACACAACGACATTTGGTATAGTGTAAACAGGACAACAGGTAACCATGCCTACACAACGACATTTGGTAAAGTGTAAACAGAACAACAGGTAACCATCCCTACACAACGACATTTGGTATAGTGTAAACAGAACAACAGGTACCCATGCCAACCCAACGACATTTGGTATAGTGTAAACAGGACAACAGGCAACCATGCCTACACAACGACATTTGGTATAGTGTAAACAGGACAACAGGTAACCATGCCTACACAACGACATTTGGTATAGTGTAAACAGAACAACAGGTAACCATGCCTACACAACGATATTTGGTATAGTGTAATCAGGACAACAGGTAACCTTGCCTACACAACGACATTTGGTATAGTGTAAACAGAACATCAGGTAACCTTGCCTACACAACGACATTTGGTATGGTGTAAACAGGACAACAGGTAACCATGCCTACACAACGACATTTGGTATGGTGTAAACAGGACAACAGGTAACCATGCCTACACAACGACATTTGGTATAGTGTAAACAGAACAACTGGTAACCATGCCTACACAACGACATTTGGTATAGTGCAAACAGGACAACAGTTAACCATGTCCACACAACGACATTTGATATGGTGTAAACAGGACAACAGGTAACCATTCTTACACGAAATTGGGAAAAGACCTAAACAGAAAATCAGGGAACCCATGGCCATGCCAACATAACGACATTTTTACTGAAGTAAACAGAACAACAGTAACCATGTAAAAAGGACAAGATAACAATGTAACCATGATTAGCCACCTAATCACTAGGTTTCAGCCCACCTGCTCTTTGTCCACCTGCTCTGTCTCTCAGGAAATCACTTGGATTCCAATTGAGTACTGATAACGGCTCGATGACGCGTCAGTATCTACTAACTTAGTCAAAAACAACGAAGGGTTTGTTACCACCTTTAACACAGACAGTCGTAGCTTAAGTTACATGTCTTGGTGATGGGCTGTTTGTATGGGCATGCAGAGGCCATCATCTATTGAGTTTATGAGGGTCGTGTTGTTTGAGAAAGTGATCACATCCTTCCGCTGTATTAAATCATATAAGCTCTTTAATATACACATAAAAAAGCCCAGCGGATATAACACGTCCCTGTCCTACACCTTGTTTGATTTGGCACTATCGACGTTCCTCCCCAGGATATCTGACACATGCAACATATTCGTGGTATGACTGACGCGTATGATATACCACGCTTTCCACAACACATGTATGGTATGACCTATCTGAATATATACGTGCTGTGTTTATACGACCACACAACCTCCAGCCAGACTGTAGCCTATCGGGCTTCCTTGTCTCAAAGAAAAAAATAGCTCGATTCGATCTAACATTATTGTTTCCGTTATATGTTTACGCAAACACGTAATATGATTCTCATCTCTTTGGAGACGTTAACTACAGCAGGACAACACTCACGACCTGACGTAACGTCAACAACCGCATACGGTTGGTGCATCTACAGAATCGATACCAAACTGCCACATTAACGGCTCGGATAATGCATGGGTTAAGAAACGTACCTAGCCGATTGAGAGAGCGCAACATCCGATATCCAGCGATTCGTCCACGTTTCCATCCACGTAACCGTCAGGCACGTCTACCATAGTGTATAAGTCAACGGAGGTTCAGAAAAAGCTCTGGTGGGCCGTGCAGGGTTAACGGGCCACATGAACGTTTGTGCCATGCTTACGTTAACCAACTGTCGTTGTGTACTGTTATGTTTTGGGGTGGCAACTCGTGGGGAGAAGGAATATGTATATGGCGTACTCTACAGGGACGACGTCAAGGTCATGACATCGTTCAACCCATTGTACAGCAGGGGCGTAACGACACGTTGCAACAGGGACAATGCCCACCTACAAGTTACACGTGTTGTAACAGTCTTTTTCAGACAGCATAGCGTTCTGTATTACGATGGACGGTTTTTTGTCCACAATTCCCATTCACTGAGATTGGGGATTGACACCTACGACATGATCACAACCAGTCGTTAACATTAATTGAACCTTTCTCTGGTTCACAATTCGAAGAACATCACGTAGGCTGTTAACAGGTAAAGAAACCTTTGTACCAGCCGGGGACCACAGGACCAGCATAAATTTCGCACACTGCTGTTATCAATAATCTAATGTCTGTATTGCTCCACCGGTGCCTCCAGCGTATCAACGAATCAACGCAAATGGTGGTCACCGGCGATACTGACTTTATAAACTGAGTTGTAATGCCACCCTTCTATTAAAGGGGTGTCTTCGGTACCTGATATTCCAATGAATTTGTTATGATAAAACATTGATCAAACGAATGGCCAAATATAATGTTGTGATTTGTATTGACATAGCATTGACACCGCTTCATGTGAAACATAATAGCTTTTTTCGGTTAATATATGTCTGTAATCTATCCATGAATGTTTCATTTCTGAGGATGTAATGCACCAATCATATTGTGTCTGTAACAAGAAAAAAATGGTCTTCAGCAACCCATGAATTTTGTAAGTATCGACTAACAGGATCGGGTGGTTAGGCTGGCTGACTTGGTTGACACATATCATCGTATCTCAATTGCATAGATCGATGCTCATGCTGTTGATCACTGGATTGTCTGGTCCAGACTGGAATAGTTACAGACCTCCGTCATATATAGAGGATATATATATTTAGGCACGAGTGTCGTAAACACTGTATGATATTGGCACGAATAATATTCTGTTTATTACCGAAGTCGTCAAATTGAGGAAAATAAACCCAAATCTACTTTCAAACATAGGCTGGCTACCCGCCGTCGCAGTATGTAGAACGCAACGTCACAGAAGAAACGTGACGTCATAGAATTGTTCATGACGTCACGTCACCATGGCAAAGTGATATTTTGCCCAAGGGCATCGTATGAAAATATGAAATAGGTAATAAAACTGGAATATTGCTGACAATATTGCTGGCATCGTATGAAAATATGAAATAGGTAATAAAACTGGAATATTGCTGACAACAAACAAACACCAAATCTTTACTGGTTCACAATTCAGCAATATTTACGTCACAGACAGAGTATATTTCAACAGTTTTGACAGCACCATTTTTTCCATTGTTACCCATACCTTAGTTTTAAAACCCAGAGAGTCACATTCAGTCCGTTATATTGGGAATATCGTTATCGGTACCTGGAGGCCCGACCTCTGCTGACCACATTATTTTTTACCTGACGCGTCTGATAATCACAGAGGTCAAGATTCGAACTTTTCCATTTCGGTTTCAGCCGGTCGTTATGTACTGACAATGGAGTCAAACCCACCTTCTGTCTTATCAGATTCGATTTCCACACATGGCAATCATTGAACGGTATATTAGTGTTTGCTCCAGCCGGTCTTGATAGGCACACACATTTCCGTTGGCAGGGGTGAGAACGGAACAGCCAACAGATATATCTACTCAGTGGGTCGACAGGACATTGTTAAATGTGTTTAGATCTTACACACAAATCGCGTTGCTTGTGCCATGATTGTAACGTTATTAGGATCAGAACATATTTAGATATGTGTTTGACAGCTAAACGTGTTTATGATCTGAAGGTGGGAGAGGCATATATGTCCCTTTGAAATTTAAAGTAGCTAGAATTTAAAAAATGTTTTCCTGAAGGCGTTAAATGGGAATATAAACGTTGGGGCTTTTCTTGGTTGGTG